AACAGATGTTAGCTCAGGGTGAATCTTTCCCAGAAAAAAAAAAAAAGAAATACAAACCATTACATGTAGAATATATTTTTTAAAAATACTACAATTCAACAAGACAACAAACAATTTTTAAAAATGGGCAAAAGATACTAACGGACACTTCACAAAAGAAAATACATGAATAGCCAATAAGCACTTAACAGATGTTCTACATCATTATTCATCAGAAAAATGCAAATTAAAACCACAATGAAATACCACTATACACCCAGTAAATTAGCTAAAATTAAAGACTTACTCTCAGACACTGCTGGCAGGAATGTAAACTACTACTACCAATTTGGAAAATGGGAAATTTCTTTTTTTCTTCTTCTTTTTGCTTTTTATTGAGTTAACGATAGGTTACAATCTTGTGAAATTTCAGTTGTACATTAATGTTTGCCATTCGTGTTGTAGGTGCACCACTTCACCCTTTGTGCCCACCCCCCACCCCACCTTTCCCCTGGTAGCCACTAATCTGTTCTCTTTGTCCACATTTTTAAATTCCTCATATGAGTGGAGTCATACAGAGATTATCCTTCTCTAACTGGCTTATTTCACTTAACATAATTCCCTCAAGGTCCATCCATGTTATTGCAAATGGAATGATTTTGTTCTGTTTTGCAGCTGAGTAGTATTCCATTGTATACATATACCACATCTTCTTTATCCATTCATCTGTTGATGGGCACTTAGGTTGCTTCCATGTCTTGGCTATTGTAAATAATGCTGCAATGAACATTGGGGTGCATAGGACTTTTGGAATTGCTGACTTCAAGCTCTTTGGGAAGACACCCAGTAGTGGGATGGCTGGATCGTATGGTAGTTCTAGTTTTAATTTTTTGAGGAATCTCCATACTGTTTTCCATAGTGGCTGCACCAGCTTGCATTCCCACCAGCAGTGTATGAGAGTTCCTTTTTCTCCACACCTCTCCAACATTTGTTACTATTAGTTTTAGATATTTTTGTCATTCTAACGGGTGTAAGGTGATATCTTAGTGTAGTTTTGATTTGCATTTCCCTGATGATCAGCGATGATGAGCATCTTTTCATGTGCCTATTGGCCATCCGTATATCTTCTTTGGAGAAATGTCTGTTCATGTCTCCAGGAAAATGGGAAATTTCTTAAAAAGTTAAACATACTCCTGACATATGACCCAACCAACCTAAGATGGTAAATACCATCTCACTAAATAAATACCATCTTAGGTATTTATCCAGAGAAATGAGAGCATTTTTCCACACAGAGACTTGCACATAAATGTTCAAAACAGTTTTATTGCAAGTAAGGACCTCAAAATGAGAATAACCCAAATGTCTACCAAGGTAGATGTCTACACAAATTCAGCAATAAAAACTATTTTTCATTCAAAATCATTATTCTGAGTGAAAGAAATCACACAAAAAGAAAACATACTGTATTATTTCATTTATATAAAATCCTAGAACATGCAAACCACTGTACAGCGACAGAAAACAGGCCAGTGGTGTCTGGGGACAAAAGTAGAGGGAAAAATGAATTGTAAGGGAACACGAAAAAACTTTTGGGAGAGATGGAAATGTTACCTTGATTGTGGTGACGGGTTCAGGGGTACTTACATGTCAAAGCTGATCATAGCGTATACTTTAAATATGTGCAGTCTATTGTACTTCAATTATATCTCAAAAAAAGTATTAAAAATTTTTAAACGAGAATTGGCAGTCCTCTAGGGACAAAACCCACCATCCCAAACAATGAGAACAAACTCTACTAGAAAGATTTGATAGTATCACCAGGCCATTAACAGTCAAGTTGCAGGAGACTCCTCTTAGGAAAGTGTCTTTATAGGAACTTCTTTACTGTCAGTGTAGGACTCAGATATATCCATATCCCCTCTCATGAATAAGCATGAGCATAGTAAAAAAATCAATACTTCAGATCATCAGCATGATTAACATCTTGGGGATTCATTCAACGTAGTTAGGGAATCCCTCCCTCCAGGTCTCTGTCTTTTATTTTTCAAGGACTCAACAGAAACAATTCTCAAGTATTTTATACTATCTACCTATCAAGCCAAGGCATTTGATTATTTGTTAAAAACCAGATTAATCTCAAACTTCCCTTTCCATAAATATGACAAGAAAAAGCTTTTGGTTCAAACAATGATTATCGTAATTGCAGTGACTTTATAATTTGCTGTCTGTAGCACTACCTTTCACTCTCAGCATCTGATCACAAAGATGAAAAGTTTAACCCATTTTCAACTCCTTTCTGATCTACCAAGAATTTTTAAGAACCTCTAGTTCATTCTATAGGCGCAAATATTTCGATTTCATTAGAAGAGTATTCTAGTTCATCTCAGTATCCTTTACAGCCTTCTTTTATTCTACCCAATCCTTAAAAGGTGATATTCTCCATGGTTTGATCTTCTACTCTCTACTAGTCTCATTTCTCAGCAATATTCTCAAATTTCACAATCTTCTGGGAAGCCAGTTAAAAAGAAGGATTCCGGGGCTGGCCCGGTGGCACAGTGGTTGAGTTCTCATGCTCTGCTTCGGTGGTGGCCTGGGGTTTGTGGTTTGGATCCCAGGCATGGACCTATGCACTGCTGGTCAAGCCACGCTGTGGCAGCATCCCACATACAAAATAGAGGCAGACCGGCAGGGATGTTAGCTCAAGGACAATCTTCCTCAAGCAAAAAGAGGCAGATTGGCAACAGGTGTTAGTTTAGGGCCACTCTTCCTCACCAAAAAAAAATAATCCCAACACTCTAACTTCAATGATTCTGATTCAAATTAACAGGTGAAGGTTCATTAATCTTCATATTTTTTTACCAATTACACACTTGCTATCTCATTAAACTCTTTTACCTGTTCACATTCTGTTCTCTCTTCTGAAAAAATACCTTTTCCTTCGGCTAACTGAATTATTCCTTGACTTTCAAGTCTGTTTAGGAGTGACTTGCACTGGCAAGCCTTCCCTTCCAAACTATCATTCTCCTTCCCCAAAGACTATACTAAATTCCGGTTGAAAAATACTTAATTACACCATATTGTGTTGATCTACTTGCCTATCTCCCCTTTAGACTGTTAGTTCTGTTTTTCATATCTCTGTATCTAACCTACTACATAGCTGGCAAATAGTCGATACTCAGTAAATGCTATCTGAATGAATTAATCCCTTCCAACGAGTATCTAGTTAACAAAAATCTTTTCTGTATTAACAAAAATGGAAAAGATTAGCTCATTCAGTATACAAAATAACACACCACTGTTGAAGCCAAGTAGTTTGAAAACACAAGGATTTCTTACAGCCACTTTTATCAGTTTTTCCCATGTATTTTTCATGGGTCTTTTCATCAGTCTTTTCCCACGTATCAGTCTTTCCCATTTATCATCAATGTATTCGTGAGTACATATTTGATGTCCGAAGAAATGCAGGACTACTGAGTCATTTTTACTATAACTAGTATTTTTTTTTTTGCAAGCTAGATTTTTCTCCCCCACACTAGGTTTAGCCTTGCACTGTCCAATCAGGTAGACACTAGCTACAGGTGGCTATTTCAATTTAAATTAATTAAAATTAAGCACAATTTAAAATTCAGTTCCTCAGTCACATTAGCCACATTTCAAGTGCTCAAAATCCATACATGGCTAGTGGCTACAGTACTGGACGGGCGGATACAGAACATTTTCATCATCATAGGAAGTTCTATCGGACGGCGCTGGCGACACAATTATAAAAGGACCTCACAAAACCTCACTTACTTCTTAGCTCCCACGATCCTCGTGCTCCTCTGCTGCTTAAAGGACGTGGGTCCCGGAGTCTAGCAAATCGCAAGCACATAAGTGAATGATAGGGACTTCTGAACCTTGGCCACAAAAAGACAAATCCCCCGTGCCCAGAAGAAATGAAGCTCTCCCGGGGCAACTACCTCAAACGGAAGGCGGCAAGACTTTTTAGGAAAAGTATGCCGTCCTATCTTCCTAGAGAGTCAAGGCAGGTGACAACACCAGAGCCTTCACCTCTTCCATTCTCAAACCCCTGTCCCAGATAAGAGGCTCTAAAAGGGAGGCGAAAAGAGAGAACAACGGATATGGAAGGTACTGGGATAGCAAAAGGAACAGAAACCAATGGCAATCTGGCGAGGAACTGAGTCCAAGTAGGAGAGGAAGAGGCAGCCGAAAGTGGGGATTTGGGGAAATAAGGGGGGACAGGTAGATCTGACCCACAAGGGTGGGGCCTACGATGGCTCTGATAAAACCAGTTGTGAGCCTGGGACAAAAGCGAGGTACCGCGTGTCGCGGGCTCGACAGCGCTACCCCTAAAGCATAACGGTCAAACCGAGAAACTCACGGCGGGCACTGCACCGAGTCTGGAAGACATCACTGCCTCTCCACGCCTAACCAATTCACCCAAGGGCTCCGGCCAGACCAACGCCACTTCCGCTCTCCTCTCCTCTCCCGGATGTGGAGTCGGCGCCGCCGAGCCCGGTTCGGAACATCTACTTCCGCCTGGCTGCTTCCGAGGGGGCTGCAGCCCGAGTGAGTCACGTGACGAGCCCCCCCTCCGATGCCTCTGAGACCCCGCCCCGGGATTGCGTTGTAGGACCCGGGAAAAAGTGGGTGGGGTTTATCTGACCCCAGGACCCCTCCCTCTCGGTCCAGTCGTTTGCGCGACGAAGTCCCTCCACCCTCCATCTCCCCCAAGTCTTAAGACTGGTGGTCCTAGATGCACAAGGAGATCAATGATTGCCCCTTTATTTATCATGGAGAAATTACAGACCCATTCCCGCCCCGCTCCCCCCAGGTAGAGAGACGTGGAAGCTCTTTCATTGTTGAGGGCGCGGAAAGTGGAGGCAGTGGCTGAGCGGGAAAGAAGCCAGGAAAGGGCACTCGGTGGAGACCGGAGCGAGTCGGTGAATAATGGGGGCGGATCTCTTCTCGTCTCCTAGCTTCAGGCCTCCAAACTTGCCCTGCTTTGGGGGGGTTTCTTATGTTTGAGTAACTCCTGAAATCTTTAAACAAACTATGTCTGGGCCTCTCCCTTGGGGAGCTGTGCTTGAGTCTTTCCTTAGGGGGACTGTGACCGATTCTCTCGGAATGACTGTGTCCACTCCTCTCAGAGGGACTCCGACGGGTTTCCTCAAAGAGACTGCAGTTGGCCTTTCAGAGGGACTGCGAGGGCTTCCCCCAGAGGGACAAGGATGACTCCTCTCAGAGGGACTGCGACATCTCCTCCCAGAGGGACTGCGACATCTCCTCTCAGAGGGGCTGCGACATCTCCTCTCAGAGGGGCTGCGATGGCTCCTCTCAGAGGGACGGTGACGGCTCCTCTCAGAGGGACTGCGACATCTCCTCTCAGAGGGGCTGCGACATCTCCTCTCAGAGAGACGGTGATGGCTCCTCTCAGAGGGGCTGCGATGGCTCCTCTCAGAGGGGCGGTGCTGGCTCCTCTCAGAGGGGCTGCGATGGCTTCTCTCAGAGGGACTGCATTGGCTCCTTTCGGAGGAATTATATGGGGTTCTTTCCTTGTAGATGCTGTGATGGTTTCGTTCCTCGTGTGTGGGTTTCTCTTTAAGGTGACCATGTGAGGTTTTCTTCATGGGAAAACCACGGAGGATTCTCCCTTGGGCCTGAACTCTGGTTCTTGTTTTGGAGTTCCTGGACTCCTGGCTAGAGATTTCATTTCTGTAGAAATTTTTCTTAGCTCTGCTGCTCTTGTCATTTTGAACGGCACCCAAAGGTGGTCTGATTGAGGTGGTTTTGAAAGTGGTATTTCTTTGGGAAACTGTGGGCTTGGGCACTTGGATAGACCTGTGTCGGAAAGACCTATCTCTTTTTGGTTGTTGAGCTGATCTGGATTGGTCTGTTTCTCCCCACAATATGCTCTCTTGCTTAGTGGCTGAGTCAGTTGGCTGTCGCTTGACAACTGGCGTCCTGTCTCTTTTGATATCTCTTGATAAACAATAGTCTCTGGCTTTTTGTTTTGGATGGTAGTTTTTCCTTGACTGCAAATAATCTGGTCTTGTCCTTTTCTCAGGCTTTTGCTCAAAAAAAGCCACCATTCTATGTGCTGTTTGGAATGCCTGGTTTAGGCCCTGAAAAAGCAGCTGAATGAATTTGGGTTTCGAGGATTTCTTAGGTTGTCTATGTAAAGAGGCAGTAGTTGTCTGAGAGGCAGTAGTTGTCTGAGATGCTCCATTCTGCTTCCTTCTTAACTGGGCTGGTAATTCCCTGAAGGGACTCTGTATTAGGGTTCTACTGTTTGTGCAGAACTTTGTGTTTTGCTTTCTAACTCTCTTGGTGATTCTTTTCATTGGATATTTTGAATCATGGGTCTTTTTGGTTCTTACTGTAGCCCATCTTTCATCCTGATCGCTTTCAGAGTCACTTGCTGGTAGAGAGTGAACTCGAGTGAATTCATAATGCCCAAGATCTCTAATTTCTGTCTTTCCTGCTAGGTCAGGGCTGCCCCATTGCCTTCGCCTGATGTGGACTTGTACAGGAGTAGGAGACTGAGAAGACCCAGACTGGAAATCTCTTGTAGAAGTAGAATTCTTGGAGACTCGAGCATAGATTTTGGCTTTCCTTAGTGATGGTGATATAGGACTCCTTGGTGTGATGGATCTGTCTTTTCTATGATACTTTGGGATTTGGGGTCTTTTCCCAGTTCTCAACCTAAAGCCAAGATGCAACCTAATCTCTCCATGGCCTTCAGGAGTGCTTACAAGGTGGAGCTGTGGATAGATAAGAAGATAAGGCCCAAAAGTAGCCTGTAATTTATGACAGCAATTAAATCCTGAACATCGGCCGCACTGTAGGCAGATAGGGTATTGTAGGACCAGACCTGAAGCTAGAGGTGGAGGTACATTGGGGGGTATTTGACTCCTTAACATTTTTGCTGCTATTTTTAGCTGCAGATCTTGTAACAGCTGGAACCGTTCTGAGAAGTCAGTCTTGTCCTGGGAAAGATAACTTGGCTTGAGGGAGTGTTGGGACTCAAAAATCCTCACCTGTGAATCACTCTGTGAGTTCTCACTCTCTTTCACTGGAACAGGATCTTTCCTAGTGAAAAATATATTGAAGGTAGATTCTGACATTACTGGGGTAGGAAACTGGCCCTTTGTACATGAAACAGGCATGTGCTGAATGACTTCCTGGGATATATCACTGAGCTTTGAGTTTGTTTTCTTTATTCTCACTCTAGTCCCAGAGTATTGCTGTATTATAGAGGACATGGAGCCACGTGTCCACATCCTTAAGGCCATTCTTTTCTCATGACCTTGGCATGAAGTATGCCTCTGAATATAGTTTTTGACCACTGAAGGCCAAGAAATAGTACCTTGACCCTTCTCTAGCAGACTCTGGGAAAATTCCATCAGTTCAGCTGGAACCCCAAATAAATTCTGAATAGATTGACGGGTATCTGCAATGGGTTTTTCTGTTAAAGATGTTTGAGAACGAAGCTTCCTTTCCATAATGGTCCCCAAGACATTCCCTAGCATTAGCATATTGGAGAGATATTTTCTAGGTAGTCGCTGCCTCCAGGAGTGATTCTCCCAGACATTCCGTTGTCTGCCCAGGACAGACCAGGTAAGGCTTCTTCGAGCCCTTGATCCTGCCTGGAAGGTCCTAGATGGTGATTTCCAGCTTTGTGGTGGATGTTGGGAGAGGGCTTGGAGAAAGTTCTCTAGCTCCTCCACCTGCTTACTCTTAGTCTTCTCCTGAGATGTGACATCTACTCCTGGGATCTCAGAATGTGGGGTTTCTACAGTGTTAGCTGTCTTATCAGAGGGTTGATTACAAAAAGACAAGGGAAGTGTTGAAGATTGTATCATAGCAGGGTCTATAAAGGACTCTTCAGGCTGCAAAATATCTCTCCCAGGGTTTTTTATATCCAAGGTTCTTGATACTTCTGGCATCTCAGAATCCCAAAGGCCTCCTAAATCAGATGTTGTTTTGATAGAGCTTGAGATGAGTGAGTTAGAAGAGTTGTATAGAAACCTAGAGAAATAGTTCCTTACTTGTAACTCTTCCCCTAATGTCAACTCCTCAGATTCCCTATTCTGATACACTTGTCCTAGATTCAAATCCTCAGATCCCATGACTTGAGGAGGCCCTGCTTTTATCCCTATAGATTTCATACGCTGAAACCCTTGTTCATGGGTCAATACTGTAGGTTTCTCAAATGGAGATGTTGGCCGTGAGGTTAATTCTGCAGATTTCACTTCAGCCTTTGGCCTTGGAGTTAATTCTACAGGTTTTATCAGTTCTTGAAGATGTGGCCTTGGGAGTAAATCCAAACAATCCATTACTTCAAGCCCCAATCCTAGGGCTACTCCTGTTGGTTCTACAACCTGAGGCACTGGTCCTGGTGCTAATTCCTCAGATTTTACAATTTGAAGTGGTGGCCCTGGGATTAACATAGTCTTTACAATTTGAAACCCTGTCAACTCCATTATTTCCAAAATTTGGTGTCTTGTCTCTGTGATTTTCTTAGATTTCATATTTTGCAACCATAGCCTTGAAGTAAACTCTGAAGGTCTCATATCTTGCAGTTTTGGCATCAACTCAACATAGTCTCTCATTTGAGAGGTTGGCCCTGGCGTTAATGTTACAGACTTCACAACTTGAAGTGGTGGCCCAGGAGTCACTGTCACAGATTCAGCAACTTTTGGGGGGGCTACTGGGGTTACTCCTATTGATTGAGCAACTTGGAGCTGTGTCTTTGTAGATTCTGTGACTTGATCCAGTGGCTTTGGACTAATCCTCATAAATTCTGTAATTTGACCCAGTGGTTCTGGGGCTATCTCTGAATGTTTCATACTTTGATTCTGTGACTGTGTTAGTCCCATTGATAGCTCCCCTTGCTGCCATGTGTCAGAGGTGAGCTCTACAGATTCTGCATGTCCTGCAACTTGATTTGTTTGCTTTGGGGGCAACTCTAAAGATTCCTCCCTTTGAAGCAATTGCTTAGAGGTCAAACCTACAAATTCTGGAATTTGATGTCCTGACCCTAATATTATCTCTGAAGATCCCACATGATGCCATGGCTTTGGAATCAATTCCATAGGTCCCTCCACTTGTAGCCCTATCTCAGAAGTCGACTCCACAGATTCAGGAACTTGGTATCCTAGCCCTGGTGTCATCTCTGAAAATTCTGGGACATGATGTAATGACTTTGTTATCAATACTACAGATTTTTCCCTTTGCAGTCTTTTCTCAGAGGTCACCTCCACAGAGTCTAGAGCTTGAGTATCGGGCCTTGGAGTTCTCTCTGGATATCCAGTTGCTTTACTTTTTGGCTTTGGAGTCATTCCAAGGAATTCCTCCCTTTGCAGCCTAGCCTTGGAAGTCAACCCTGTAGTTTCTGTAATGTGATACTTGGGCTCTTGGGTCATCCCTTCAGATTCCACAACTTGCTGTAGTGACCTTGTATATAATTCCCCCAAATCCTTGACTTGAGGCCGTGACTGAGTGAGCAACTCCAGAGTTTCTGGGATTTGGTAGCTTTTATCTGGAGTTAACTCTAAGGATTTAGAACCTTGATCCCTTAGTACTGGAGACAGATCAATAAATTCTGGTACTTGAAGATCCAGCTCCAGAGGCATCCCTGAAGATTCCATGGCTTTACCTGTTGGCTTTGGGTTCAACCCTACAGATTTCTCTACAGTTTCTGTGCCTTGATGTGCCAACTTTTGTGCCATTTCTGAAGGTTCTGTGACTTGATAAATTGGCATTGAATTCAAATTCTCAGATTTAGGGACTTCATGCCTTTGCTTTGGGATCGTCTCTGCATATTTTACAAACTGATGCCCTGGCCTAGGGATTATCTCAGAGGAGTCAGTCATTTGATAGCTTGTTCTCGGAGTTAGCTTCTCAAATTTCACTCTTTGAAGCAATGACCCTGGTGCTAACTCCACAGATTTTGTATCTTGCTGTAGAGACACTGAAGACAATTTCACATGTTTTATAGTCTGCAACTTTGCTTTTGGAGTAAACTCCATCGATTTCACACCTTGTTGCTGTGATTCTGGAGACAAATTTGAAAATTTGACACTAGTCAACCTTGGTCCTGGTATGAACTTCTTAGTTGGTTCTGATGCCGACACCACTGATTTCATACCTTGCCCTCCTGAAATCACCTCTCGGCAATTCATACCTTGCTGTTGGAACCCTGGTATCAATTCTACAGATTTTACATCTTGAAAACATGGCTCTGGTACAAAGACCTCAGCTTTAACACTTTGTGAGCTGAGGCACGATGACAACCCTGAAGAATTCGCACTTCGAGGTTGTGGCAATAGGTTTGACTTCATAGATTTCATTTCTTGAGAACATGGCTCTGATACAAACATCATAGATTTCTGCCTAGGGCAAGAAATCAAATTCTTACAATTCACATCTTGAGGTTGTGGCCCTGGTTTCAACTCCAGAGATTTCACATCTTGAAAACACAGCTCTGGTGCAAACACCCCACATTTCAAGTCCTGTAGCTCAGAGCCTGAAATCGATTTCACAGAATTTGCACCACAAAGCAATGGCTCTTTCTTCATCTTAACAGACTTTACATCTTCAAGTAGTGGCTCTGGTAAAAATAGCACAGATTTCACGCCATTTAACTGAGGGCCCAAAGTGAACATAGATTGTATAACTTGTTGCTGTGACCCAAGGTGGTTGTCCAAAAATTGGACTTCTGGAAACTTTGTCCCTGGAGTTAACTCAGCAGATTTTACACCTTGGAAATATGGTCCAGGGTTGAACAAGATAGATTTTGTACCTTGAGATTCTGAGCCAGGGTTCAATCCAGAGGGTTTCATGCCTTGCAACTGTGGCCCTGGATTAAACTTTATAGAATTTGTGCATTGAAGGTCTGACCCTGAATTCAACTGAGAAGAATTCATACCTTGCATCTCTGCACCACAGTTGAACTTAGTTGATGTTATACCTTCAAAATTTGTCCCTGCAGTCAATTCACATTTTACATCTTGTAAATGTTGCACAGGGTTGAACATAACAGATTTTTTACCTTGAAGTTCTGGCCCTGGGTTCAAATCAGAACATGTCATACCTTGACATTTTGTCTCTGAAGTCAATGTAAAAGATTTTACACCTTGCAGGGGTGGTCCAAGTTTGCACTTCATAGAATCTACATATTGCAATTTTGGCCCTGGATTCAACTCAGAAGAATTTACGCACTGCATCTGTGGCCCAGGGTTGCAGTCCATGGGTGCTATACCCAGACACTTTGACCTTGGAATCAATTCAGATTTCAGACATTGTAAATGTGGTCCATGGTTGAATACCATAGATGTTTCACCTTGAATCTCTGTCCCTGGATTCACCTCAGAGCCCATATCTTGACATTTTGTCCCTGAAGTCAATTCAAAAGATTTTACGCCTTGCAAGGGTAGTCCAAGTTTGCACTCCATAGGATCTACACATTGTAATTTTGGCCCTGGATTCAGTTCAGAAGAATTTACACAGTGCATCTGTGGCCCAGGGTTGCAGTCCAAAGGTGCTACGCCCAGAAACTTTGACCCTAGAATCAATTCAGATTTCAAACTTTGCAAATATGGTTCATAATTGAATACCATAGATGTCTCACATTGAATCTCTGTCCCTGGATTCACCTCAGAGCCCATATCTTGACATTTTGTCCCTGAAGTCAACTCAAAGGATTTTACTTGCAAGCGTGGTCCATGTTTGTATTTCATAGAATTTGTACACTGTAATTTTGGCTCTGGATTCAACTCTGAAGAATTTACACTCTGTATCTGTGGCCCAGGGTTACATTCCAGAGGTGCTACACCTAGAAACTTTGACCCTGGAATCAATTCAGATTTCAGACATTGCCAGTGTGGTCTAGGGTTGAACACTATACATGTCTCATTTTGAATCTCTGTCCCTGGATTCAACTCACAAGACTTCCTTTCTTGAAGTTTTGAAACTGAAGTTGATTCAGAAGAGTTAACACCTTGGAAATGTGGTCCCGGGTTACATCCAATGGAATTTACACACTGAAGTTTTGGTTCTGAAATGAATGCAGAAGAATTCACACCTTGGAAATGTGGCCCAAGGCAGAACACCTTAGATTTTATACCTTGACACTCTGGCCCAGGATTCAACTCAGAAGATTTTACACCTTGCAATTCTGGCCCAGTGTTGAATGCCATAAAATTTGTACACTCATGCAGTGGCCCTGGATTCAGCTCAGAGGATTTCCCACCTTTCAATTTAGGTTCCTGGTTGAATTCCAGAAATTGCTCATCTGGAAGCTTCATCTCCATGCTCAACTCAGATTTCATCTCTTGCAACTGTGGTCCAGTATTGAACTGCATACCTTGAAGCCTTGTTCCTAGGCACAACTCAGAAGATTTTGCACTTTGCACGTTTGCCCCAGGGTTGAATTCCATAGATTTCACACCTTGAAGGTGTGCCCCTTGTGTCAACATAGACAGTTTCCTATCTTGTAACTGTGGGGCTGAGTTGAACCCTGAAGATTTCACATCTTGTACCTTTGTACCTAGAGTCAACTCAGAAGATTTCATATCTTGCCACATTGGTGTGGTGATGGACTTCACAGATTCTCTGCTTTGAAGTTTTGTCTCTGGTGTTAACTCAGCAGATGTCACACCTTGTAACTGTAGAACAGGCTTTAATTCCACAGATTTCAAATCTTGAGGCCTCCACTTTAGTGTCAAGTCAGATTTCTCACCTTGTCTCTGTGGTTCAGGGTTGAACTCCACACATTTCACTCCTTGAAGCTTCCTCCCCTGGGTTAAATCAGAAGATTTCCCACCTTGTAACTTTGCACCATGGTTGAACCCTAAGGATTTCACATCTTGAAGCTTTGTCTCTTGAGTCAACTCAGAAGATTTTTTACTTTGTATTTGTGGTCCAGCGTTGAACACTGATTTCACTTCTCGAAGCTTTGTCCCTGGGATCACCTCAGAAGATTTTATACCTTGAAAGTGTGGTCTAGAACTGCACCCCATAGATTTTACGTCTTGAAGCTTTATACCCATGATCAGCTCAGAACACTTCATATCTTGTAACTGTGGGCCTGAGTCCAACTCTACAGATTTCACACCTGAAAACTTCCTCCCTAGGTTCAAATTGGAAGATTTCTCACCTTGTAACTTTGGACCAGATTTCAATTCTACAGATTTCACACCTTGAAGCTTTTCCCCTGAGATCACTTTAGAAGATTTCACACTCTGCAAGTGTGGTCCAGACCTGGAATTCATAGATTTTTCATCTTGAAGCTTTATACCCATGATCAAGCTAGAAGACTTCATATCTTGCAACTGTAGGCCTGACTTGAATTCCACTGGTTTCACTTTTTGAAACTTTGTCCCCAGTATTGACTCAGAAGGTTTCACACCTTGCAACTGGGGACTGGGGCTCAATTCATTATGTTTTACATATTGAAGCTTTGTCTTTGAGGTCCCTTCAGAAGATTTGATACCTTGAAACAATGGCCCAGAGTTGAAATCTGTAGATTTGACACCTCGAATCTTTGTCCCTACAGTCAATTTAGAAAATGTTATACCTTGCAACGGTGAGCTGTTGTTTAACTCAGTAAATTTCATATCTTGGGACTTCATCTCAGGTGGCAACTTAGAAGATTTTAGACCTTGCACCTGTGGCTTAGAGTTGAAATCCTCAGATTTCATACCTTGAAGCTTTGTCTGAAGAGTCAACTCAGATGACATCATACTTTTCAAGTGTAGTGGGGAATTCAACTCTATACTTTTATCACATTGTAATTGTGACCCTTGGCTGAATACCCCAAATTTCACCTCAGGAAGCTGTGGTTCTTGGGTAAGCACTGGAGACTTCGCACCTTGAAGCTGTGTTCCTGGGAAAGACTGTAAGGGTTTCACTTGAAGCTGTGGTCCTGGGGTCAACTTAGGAGATTTCCCAGCATGCAAGTGAAGCCTAGATTTGGATAACAGAGATTTTATATCACAGAGCTTAGACCTCGAAGTCAGGTCATGTGATTTTATACTTCTAACCTGAAGACAAGGTTTCAAATCAAAATTTTGCGGCTGATGTTCCTGGGGTATACCTTGGAGCTTTGGCCTTGGGGTCAGTGTGGATGACTTCACATCTCTTAACTGTATCAAAGGTTTCAGTTCTGCTGGTTTGACACACTGAGATTGTAACCCAAGATTTAGCAGAGATTTTATGCCTTGAAACTCTGGTACAGGTATCCACTGAACAGATTTCATACTTCTAAGCTGTGGCTCTTGGTTTAACTCCACAGTTTTCACACCTTGAAGCTGTGGCTCTGAGGTTGACACCAACAATTTCCCTTTTTGTGGCTGTGATCCTGGGGGCAACTCAGGGGTTTTCACACTCTGCAACTGTGACCCAAGGTTGAACTCCATATATGTTGCACCTTGAATTTTTGGCCCTAGAGTCAACTCAGATGACTTCACATTTCTTAACTGTATCAAAGATTTCAACTCTGCAGATTTGACACTTTGAGATTGTGACCCAAGATTTAACCTTACAGAGTTCACATCCTGGAAGTTAGGTCCTGGTATCCACTGAACACATCTCATACTTTCAAGCTGTGGCTCTTGTTTTAACTCAACGGTTTTCACACCTTGAAGCTGTGGCTCTGAAGTTGACTCTGAGGTTTTCACTGGGTGCAACAGTGGGCCTGGGGTCAACTTGGGGGATTTTATGCTTTGCAACTGTGATTTAAGTTTGAACTCCTTAGGTATTATACCTTGAATATTTGATTCTGGAGTCAATTCAAATGATTTCATACCTTTTGAGTGTAACTCAAAGTTGAGGTCTACTAATTTTTCACCTTTAGATTTTAAGTCTGGAATTAACCCCAAAGACATCGCATCTTCTGACCTAGACCCTCTCCTCAATTGCTGTGAATTCACACATTGCTGCTCTGGTGAGATTACAGATATCTCACCATCCTGTTCTGGTCCAGGAGTTAAATTCACAAGTGCCATCCCTTGAAAATGTTGCCTTGAGGCTAAATCCACAAATTTTGCTCCTTGAAATTTTTGTCTTCTGGTTACATTTACAGATTTAGCTACCTGCTTGTTTGGCCTTGGGGTCAACTTCACAGATTCACAATCCAAAGATTGCAGCTCTGGATCTGGAGTCTTCTCTACCGATTTTAAGCTTTGAAGCTTTACACAGGAGGTAACCTCCACAAATTTCATATCTTGCATTTGTGGCTCTGAAGTCAGTTCCTCAGGTTTCACACCTTGCAGTTGAGGCCTTTGGAGCAATGACTTAGGTGCAAAAGGCACAGAATTTTCACCTTGCACCTTTGGCCCAAGTTTCAATTCCACAGCTTTCACATCTTGCACTTGTGTTCTTGGGACTAACTCCACAGTTTTGAATTCTTGAATTCTTGAATGGAGAGTCAATTCAACAGACTTAACACCTTGAAGCTTGGAATCTGGGGTGATTTTCACAGATTTGATGTCTTCTATCTGTGGCCCTGAGGTTATCTCCACAGATTTCTCATCTTCCATCTGTGGACTTGGAGTTAGCAACACAGATTTCATACCTCTTAGACATTGTCTTGGAGTTGAGGCCACAGATTTCACATCTTCTATCTCTAACTCTGAGGTCGACAACTCAGATTTTAAACCTTGAACTTTTGAGCCTGGGGTCAGCTCCACCACTTTCACACCTCTCTTCTGTGGCCCAGGGGTTAACACCATAGATTTGACATCTCCTAGTTGTGGCTTTGGTGTTAATTTCATACCTCCCAACTTTGGCCCTGGGGTTATCTCCACAGATTTCATATCTTCCAGCTGTAGTTCTTGGGTTAGCACCTCGGATTTTAAACCTTGAAGCTTTGAGGTCGGGGTCTGCTCCACAGGTTTTACATCTTGCAACTGTGGTCCCTGGACCAATTCAGAAAATTTTATACCTTGTAACTGTAGTCTTCTGGTCAACTCAGAATCATTAACACTTGGCACCTGTAGCCTAGAAGTCATAGTCATAGATTTTATAAATGGTGTTTGTAGCTCTGAGACTAATTTAGAAGAAATGTCCCCTTTGAGGCTTGACATTTTGTCTACTGCTACACATTTCATACCTTGAAACACTGGCTCTGGTACTAACATCTCAGGCTTAACCCCTTGTTGCTCAGGTCCTGGGGTCAACTTCCTAGATCTTCCTCCTTGCGTCTTTAGCTCTGGGGTCAACTCAAAAAATTTCACACATTGTAGTTGTGGCCCTGAGTTTAACTCTGAGGATGTCACACCTTGAGGTTGAGTTCCTGATGTCAGATCACAAAATTTTACATCTTCTAGCCATGGCCCTGGGTTAAGCCCCACCTGTTTCCTGACTTGAAGCTCTGGAGACATCTTTGCTAATTTAGAATCTTGAAGCCCTAACTCTGGAGTCATCTCCACAGAATTTAGACCATAAAACATTGATCCTGGGGTTTGTTCCCCAAATTTGACACCTTGAAGCTTTGGTCCTGAAGTCGATTCAGAAGATTTGACATCTTGCTGTGTTGGTCCTAGCTTCAGTTCCTCAGACTTCATACCTTGAAATTGTAATTCTGAGGTCAATTTCACGGATTTCACACTGTGAAACTGTGATCCGTCTATAGACAAAATAGCTTTCATATTTTCAACTGGGAGCCTTTGGCTTACCTGCAAAGATGACTCTGTTACAAACCCTACAGACTTTGTATCTTGAAGGTGTGTTCCTTGTATAAACTGCACATGTTTGAAATCTTGATGCTTTGGTTCTGGGGTCAAATCAGAAAATCTGACATCCTGCAAGCATGGTCCTGAGTTTAGTTCCACAAATGTCATACCTTGAGGTTGTGGTTCTGGAGTCAACTGTGCAGATATAATACTTTGATGCTTTGGCCCTGGAGTAAAATCTGACAATTTGATTTCTTGCATTGGGAAACCTGGGGTCAACTCATGTGGGGACTCTGAGATTAAATCTGCAGGTTTTTCTCCTTGAAGAAGTGGCCCTGGAGGTAACTTGGGAAGTCTGATACTTTGCAGCTGTGGCCCTAGGGTCAATTTCACACCTTGGAGCTGTGCTCCCTTAGCCAATTCCTCTGATATTATACTTTGTGGCGCTGGCTCTTGTATCAGCTTCTCAGATTCTACCACTCCAGTAGTAGTTGACTGTTGAATTAAATTAACATAGTTCACATCTTTTAATTGTGGCTCTGGGTCCAACTGCCTGGACTTTACTCCCCAGAGCTGTGGCTCTGAGGTCAACTCCGCAGTATGTGGTTTTGGTCCTGTAATAAACTGTTTAGGTCCTACCACTAATGGGGATGACTCAGAGGTTAACTTCACAGATTTCAAATTTTGCGGTAGTAGCTCTGATTTCTCACATTGCATCCTTGGTCCTAAAGTCAACTCCAGAGCTTCTTTTTCCAAATATGGTCGTACTGGCATTGCCTCCTGGATGTTTTTAGCTTGAAACAATGCCAACCCCACAGTTTCTGTGTTTTCATATTCTGACGTTAGGGGTATCTCTGACAACTCGGTAACTTGAAGATGGGGCCTTAAAGTCATTCTTGCTGATTCTATAACTTGACCTGTTGGTTTTTGTGTTAATACCACTTGGAGCAAATCTTCTGAAGTTGGCCTCACAGTTTCCATGTCTTGGTAGCCTAGCTCTGGAGTCATGTCTAAAAACTTTTGAAAATGTGGCCTAGGCATCATCCCAGAAGTTTCCATGACTTGCTGTGGGATCAGCTTCACAGATTCCTCCTCTTGTGGCCAAATCTCAGAAGCTAACTCTGCGGGTGCTGTGCCTTGATGCCTTGGTCTGGAAGTTAGACCCACAGATTTCATTACTTGTAAATATGGTTCCATGGTCAGTTTCCTTGATTCAATGTGTAGTAACGGTGTCTCAGGAATTAACCTCCTAGATTCTTCCAGTGGTGCAGTTAAATTCACAAATTTATTATCATGCGTTAACGGCCCTAGAGTCAACTCCTCAGATTTTACACTTCTGGGCTGTGGTTTTGAGGTCAATGGCACAGATTTCACACTTTGAAATTGTGGTTCTGAGATCAACTCCTCATGGTTCACAATGTCTGAATACGGTCCTAGCTTCAGATGAACAGACTTCATATCTTGGAACTCTGGAGTCAACACCTCTGATTTCATACCTTGCCACTCTGATCCTGGTACCAATTCCAGAGGTTCTTGTATTTTGTGTTGTGACACTGGAGTTTTCCCCAAGGCTTTTACAGTTTGGAGCATTGTCTCAAGAGTACCTTGGGATGACATTGAGTTCATCTGCAGAGATTGTGAAGCTTGGCTTAATGGCCCTGGGGTATTTCCTAAAGATGGTTGTATCCACCCCATAGATTCTTTCACGTGGTGACAAGTGTCAGAGGTCAACTTTGCTTCTGCTTCTTGATATCCTGCCTCTGAGACCATCCCTAAAGATTCTGAAGCTTGATGCCATGCGGTCAATCCTTCAGGTTTTGTGCTTTGATGATTTGATTTGGGGTTCAACTCTACAGATTTTACTGCTTGAATGTGTGCCCCTGGGATTGGCTCCTTATATTCTATACCTTCTGCTTGTGTCTCAGGGATTAACCTCCTACATTCTGCTATTTGGAGAGTTTTCGCATCTTTAAGCAGTACTACTGGGGCTATCTCCTCAGATCTTTTATCTTGTAAACATGGCTTTGGGGCCAACTCCACAGATTTCATATCTTCCTGTAGGGGTCTTAGGTTCAACTCCACAGTTTTTATACATGGCAACTCTGGTGGTGGGGCCAAACGAACATATTCCATACCTTGAAACCGTGAACTAGGAGTCAAATCTATAGATTTCTTACTGTGCAACTGTGACGCTGGGGCTAAATCAGCAGATTTTTCACTTTGCTGTTGTGGTCCTAGGGTTAATTGGACAGATTTCACACCTTGAAGCTGAGACCCTGGGGCTGGTTGCACAGATTTCCCACTTTGCAGCCGTGGTGTGGGGGCCAACTCATTAGACTTTATACTCTGCAGTTGGAGTTCTGGGGCCAGTTCTATTGAGTTCACAGTTGGGATCAGCTGTCCACATTTTACCATTTGTGAGACTGAACCTGTGATTATATCTGCAGATTTTGTACTTTGCAACTCTGGTCCCAAGGTCAGTTTCTCAGATTTTGCATTTTGCAGTCTTGGGGATAACTTCATAGAATCCGTAACTTTAAGTTGTGGCATTGGCTTCGCCCCCATATGTTTCACACCTTGAAGCAGTGATGTAGTAGTCATTACTGCAGATTCTTTGACTCGATGCAGTGGCTTTTGGCTCATTCCCATATATTCTGTACCTTGACCCATTGACTGTGGGATTGTCCCTAAAGATTCCATCATTTGATGATTTGACTGTGTGGACTCTACAGATTTCTTCATTTGTAGCCATGTGTCAGAGGTCAATCCCATAGTTTCTATAACTTGATGGCTTTGCCTTGGGCTCATCTCTGAATATTCCAGGGTTTGATGCCATGAGGTCAACCTTGAAGATTCCATGACTTGATGAGGTGGCCCTGGGGTTAATGCCATAGATTCTGTGCCTTGATGATGTGGTTGTGGAGTCATCCCTACAGAGCCTAGCATTTGAATCCATGACCCAGGAGTTGACAACTCCAGAGATTCTTTGACTTGAGATATTGGCCTTGGGGTCAAATCTTGAGTTTCTACAACTTGTGACTGTGGTGCTGTGGTCATTCCCATGGGTAACTCCACTGATATTGGGATTACCTTTAGAGAATGTATGGATTTATGTGATGGCGTTGGAATCGTCCCTACTGATTCCATGACTTTAGATGATGTCTTTGGCAGTAAGCCCACAGATTCTACAACTCCAAGTGGACCAGTAGTAGTTGGAAAGCTAGAAGAAGTCAAACCATCTGGTTGAGTTGCCCTTGGGGTTAAATTTGCAATTTGAGACTGTGCATTTTGGATCAAACCCCCAGATTCTATAACATGTGCTGGTGGAATTATTCCCATGCAATCCATGGTTTGTAATAGTGCCACTGGAGTTACTTTCATGTAATCCACGACTTGATGCAATGGCCTGGAGATAATTTCCAATGATTTTGTGTTTTGGCTTATTGGCCCTGGAGTAATCTTCAGTGGATCTATGACTTGACTTTGTGGCCTTGAGGTTGTGCCCGCTGATTGCATAACTTTGTGCTGTGGCCCTGGTGTTATAGTTTCCATGACTGCACGTTGTGGCCTTGGACTCATCTTTTCTCGTTGTATGACTTGATGGCCCAACAATGTCTTCATTTTCACTGACTCCATGACTTGAGATTGTGGCCTTGGGGTCATTCCCACTGACTCTGTGATGTGTGGATGTGATTTTTTAATCATCCCCATAGAATCCATGACTTGAAGTAATCCCACAGGAGTTACCTTCACATTATCTATGACTTGATTCGGTGACCTTGAGGTCATCTTCTTTGATTTCATAATTTGATGCTGAGGTCTTGGGGTTACCTCCACTGATTCAATAACTTGATTTGGTGGTTTGGGGCTTACACTCACTGTTTCCATGGCTTCCATTGGTTTCACAACTTCATTTGGTGACCATGGGAACAAACCTATAGATTCTATCACTTCTGTATGTGATTCTGGGATCATCCCCATTGAATCCATGACTTGAAGTAATGCCAATGGAGTTATTTTTATGCTATCTGTGACTTGGTATGGTACCCTTGGGGTTAATTCCACATTAGTCACTTGGGTCTTATGCTGCTGTACCCTTTTTTCTGGAAGACCTATGACCCTCTGCTCTATACTAAGCTCTAGCACATGTTTTGGGTCCTTTTGCAGTAAAGTGGTTTCCTTTTGAATTTTGTCAACTCCTAAACTTTTGGGAGGTGGAGTGCCCATTGGTGTAACTGAGGGCCTGGATCCAAGGATTTGGGGGCCATCCCCAGGTTGTGACTGCTTACCTGGGTTAACTGACTGTGAAATTTTTGTTTCTGTTCTATTTAATCCAGATTCCACTCCAGTGTCCACATGAAGCTGAAATGATGGAAGGCCTGGGGATTTATTGTTGATATTTTGCTCAGTGCGTTGATGAATGGGCATAGATAACTGGATTTGGGGTTTCTCTGGTTCAGGGACTCTTCCTTGTACCTCAATTAAATAATTCAGCATTGCCCATGATTCCCTCACAGGCGGAGGAACTGTTTGTTCCTGCAAAGTACAAACCTTCCAAGCCATATGTCCCTCTAACTCCAACCTAGCCAAAGGAGAGAGCTGGATTGGAGCCCACTCTGGGAACTGCGGTCTCTCCTTGAAAATAGAATTTGGCCCATGATCTGATGTCAAATGACTCTTGCTCCTTCTCTCATCTTTTGTTTTCTCTTGTTGTTTGCAGAGATCTGGGGATTCAAAAACAGAGTTGATAAAAGAGCTTTGAGGTCTTAAGAGTGAAAGAGTTGCCAAATTCTGAGATAGTTTTGACTTCTCAAGCTCTGAGAGTTGAAAAGGAGGCAGGGATGTGCCTAGGTTCCTGAACACAGAAGGTTGCTTTTGGGGGAAAATAGGTAAACTATGTCTCCGGAATTGCCAGGTTGTTCTTTCAGAAAAAACAGAACGGTGAGACAGCCTGGAGTTGTTGCATGATGATCCAGAAGAGATGCTGTGGTCAGTAGAATGTTTTGCCTTCTTACAGTCACAACAGGTTAGAGCAGGCTCCTGAGCCACAAAAATGGAGGAGAAGGAAGAAGTAATCATATCCTGTGATTCAGGCAAACACAGTTCCATAAGACTTGATCTAAGAAATAAAGAGAAAAATTTCCATTTGCTTTGAAGCAGGAAAAGGTAGGAAAAGGGAAAGATAATGGCCAATTCAAGTGCAAAATATTTTGACCTGGGAAAACAACAACAACAACAAAAAAGGTTGCTTCTCCCAACATCAATTACTTATGGAAAGAATTTCCTCCGCCTGCACAAAGGGAGGCTTCTGTCCCCCCATTCCAATCAGAAATGATCCATAGACCAGTGGTTCTTAAACTTCCTCTGAACCCAGAACTTTTCCCCACTGTCAAAACTAACTAGCTAACTAAGTGATTGACTAACTAACTCTCTTCTCCCTCTCCCTCCCTCCATTAATCTCTCCCTTCTGTTCCTTCTTCAATTCCCGCCTTCCTCCCTCATTAGAGCTCTACAACCTTCAATCCCCACCTAGAAACTACATCCCCTGACCTTGCACTTTCCAGGTATTGGAAGATGTGTTGAAAACTCCTGTCCATTGACCAGAGTATGTATTCCTGGGCCCATCTCACAGGGAGTCCTGAAAAGCTGGAGGCAACAGAGTATGTCAGTGTAATTGAAGTGATATTAAAGTACTGGTAAGGAAATCAATAAGAGGAGAGACTTAACTTAGAAAGGAGACAGTGAGGGAAGTAAAACAGAGTCCGAGACGTCTTACTCCTAACTTTTACAGAGTTTATCAATAGGACAGGCTGAAGAGAGAAAGAATAGACACAGTGAAGATCAATTTGACTTACCATGTCAGGTTAGAATCAGTGCAATCCATCCTGAGATTTTCTTCCCACTGAGGAGCTGGGTGTAGGGGTGAAGAATCTATTAGCATCATGACTATTGACATCACCTAGTCCAACCCCCTTATTTTGCAATAAGGACACAAAGGTGAAGTCATGCCTAGATCATAAATCTAATTAGTGGTACAGCTCAGACTTAACCTAGGTCTCAAGGTTTTGTTTTGTTTTGTTTTTTAACTAACTATGCTGCCTTCACCATGTAGTAGATGTAAGCCATTGGGAAGAGCAGGAATAATCATGGTAGTAGGGAGTTGGAGTAGGGGAAACAGAGGTCACAATACATATCTTTTCCTCCAAAGCAGTCTATCCAGTGTCTATGGTAGGGGAAAAAAGTACTGAAACTTCCCACATCAAACTCTTGGTGGTTACCCCTTCTTCATTCTCCAATCTCACCAAGTTTCTCTCCTGATACTTTGAACTTTGTACAAAAGGAGATTAGGAAAGGAAGCATGGGGAAAGGAAGCATAGAAAGAATGATGGAGCTGTTGACATCTCTTTGGAAGTGGAGATGCTAGAATGAATAGGCACATTTCTTGCATTTACATAATCTTTTTCAACCTCCCTCCTTCCACCTGCTATTAAAGTCTAGAGTCTTAAAGCAGACCTACAGTTGATCTGTCATTAGCATAGAGCTGAAGAATAAAAAATAGGGTCTTTCTGACCTGTAAATTTCTGGATCTTTTTCAATTTATGCTGCTTTGAAGTCTAGAGAGGCACAAAAAGAAAAAATAAAATCAGGTGATGTTCTAGGTTAGAGAGTTTATTGACAGTTCGTTTCATCTTATAAACACAAGTATTAATACTGTTGGCATCCATACCCACAGTAACAATTACCTCATTCATTTATTCATGAATCATTTATTGAGTACTTACTAAGTTCTAGGTATTGCATAGGGTGGTGAGACCACAAAGATGAATACGATCCCTGTAGTCTAAAAACTTACACTAGTAGGAAAACAGATGTCTAAATAGGTAAGTTACACTACCATGTGGTAAGTGCTGTAACAGAAATATATGTGTTAGGGAATACAGAGGACGGTGATCAACTGCCTGGGAGAGAAGGAAAGAATTACTCAAGAAGTGGCCGTTTGTACTGGAGTTTGAAGAATCAGCAGAAAGTTTTTAGGTGAAGAAAGAGCATTCCAGGCAAGTGGGAACATCACCAAGATTAGAAAGTTATGATTGTCAGGTGTACTTTTGCCAAGTAGTGAAAGATGAAGTTGAAAAGGTAGGTGGAAGCCAGATTATGCCAAATTGTGGAATTTTTATTTTGTCCTATAGGTCAGAATTTCCCAACTAGTAGTTAGTATAAACTCCTGGGTTTTTTGCAAAGGTGTTCCAGGTCATTTTAAAGGCAAAAATTACGTTTGTTACAATTTCAATAAAACTATTTTTTATTTCTTCCCTTTAAATCAGGACATCAGTTTCTAAGAGTGTTTTACAAAAGCCTACATACACAATTACCAGGTATTCAGGAATGTGCTCATGATTCACTCACTCAGTTGAATAGCCCTAGCTGCAGCGGAAGTTTTAACTTTTAGACAGTTTTAAAGATTGGCAACTGTTGCCAATCTTCTTTTTTTTTTCCTGCTTTTTCTCCCCAAATCCCCCCAGTACATAGTTGCATATTTTTTAGTTGTGGGTCCTTCTGGTTGTGCTATGTGGGATGCCGCCTCAGCATGGCCTGACAAGCGGTGCCATGTCCATACCCAGTATCCAAACCAGCGAAACCCCGGCCACCGAAGCAGAGCGTGCAAACTTAACCACTCGGCCACGGGGCCAGCCCCTAGACAGTTTTAAATTGATTTTATGCTTAGTCATGTATTATTTAATTTATGTCCATCATGTGCCATTGATTAAAAACAAGCAAGGAAAAACTGATGTTGAAATATAGTCAGCTGATACTTCAATTCTCAAATTACCACACATTCAGTAAACAGGTGGCTAAAAAAAAAATCTGCCCACCAGACAAGGAAGCTTGAGAGCTCTGGGTGGGGGAAAAAAGCCTTCTCTGAGAATTTTAACCAAGAGTCTATTCTCATACTAATTTGGAATACTAATTTATACTCACTGTGTAGCCAGGAACCCTCAAACTGAAAATAAAAGGGGTCCTGGGCTGATAATGCCCCTAAGGCAAAAGGCAAACTTAGTCCAACAATATTTAAACAGGATCATGAACAACATCACAAACATGTTATATTTATTCTAGGAATTCGTGATTGGTTTAGTATTTTAAAAATTCATTGTAATTCAGCAGATTAATAGGATAAACAAGAAAAACCATGAGCATCTCAATAGAGGCAGAGAAAGCACTTGATAAAATTCAACATCCATTCATGCTATTCATGCTAAAATTCTTAGCAAACTAGAAATAGAAGGAAATCTACTTAATCTGATAAAGAATATTTACAAAAACTATGTAGCAAACATTCCACGTAACTGGTGAGTTAATGAAAACTTTCCTCTCCATAAAAAAAAAAAAAGATAAAGATCTCCATTATCACCACTTCTATTGAGTATTGTACTGGAAGTCCTAGTCAATAAAAGGCATAAGGATTGGAACGGAAGAAATAACATTTGCAGACAATATGATTGTGTAAAATATCACAATATGTTTTTGGAAAAGCGTCTAGAGATAAATTTTTAGGATTGATAAGCAAATTTAGCAAAGTCTTTAGGTAAAAGGTAAATATAGAAATATCTATTTTATTTCCAAGTATCAGTATCATTTAGAAAATGACATTTAAAATACGATACCAAACTAGACCGTATGTGCCTCCTGATGATCATCATCACCTATGAAATAATCTTTCCCCCCAAAAAACAAACTTAATTCTGTTATGTCGTACATCCAACTTCCCCATTTACAGGAAATACAAAGACAATGGAACATGTTAAATGTCAACCTGGGCATTTAATCAGCAAAGTCCTGCCTGCCAAACTCCAGACAACAAATGATCCATTTCTTCAATACATAAATGGAAAGGATATAAGAAAGAAATGGAGGTGGGGAATCTGCAAATTAAAAGGGACTTAAGAAACACAACACATAATCTCAGTGTGTGGACCTTATTTAGATCTTGAGTCAAACAAACAGACTGTAAATAATAATTTCTATCATTTATGAGACAGTTGGAATTTGAAATGATGTATATTTGATAGTATTAAAGAATCATTGTTAAATTTTTAAGTGTAATAATGATATTGCACTTAAGTACTTTCTTTGTAAAGAGTCTTTATCTTTTAGAGATATATATATATTTATTTATGACTGTAATTATATTATCTGAGATTTGCTTCACAATAATCTGGTAAGTGAGTTGAAGCTAGGTGATGGATTCACGAAGATTCATTATATGCTTCTATGTGCTTTTGATTTGTTTGAAATTTTCTCTAATAAAAAAGAAAAAATCATTTTTAATAGCTTCAAGAGACCCTCTTTATTGTAAAGTAAATATTATTGAAAAAATTAAAAAGGCCTAAATAAAAGGAGAAACAAATATATTCATAGATCAGAAGACTCATTATTTTTAGGATGTCAATTATCCTCAATCTGAACTGCAAATTCAATGAAATTATAATTAAAATCCTACATGTGTTTGTGTGAGAATTAACAGCATGGTTCAAGAATTTATATGGAAATGACAAGAACCTAGAATAGCTAAGACACCTTAGAAGATCACAGTTGGAAAATTTTTGCGACCAAATTTCAAGACTTAGTACAAAGCTACATTAATAAAGACAGTGAATATAGGTGCAAAGATAGACAAATAGACCAATGTAATAGAATAGGGAGTCCTGAAATAGACGCACACATATAATTATGACAGCATCACCAGGGCAATTCAATGAGTTATGACAGCATCACCAGGGCAATTCAATGAAAAAATGATGTTCTTTTCAATAAATGGTGCTAGAAGAAAGGCCTAGGGTTAGGGTGAGGTAGTGAGGCAGAGTCATGCAAGTGCGAGGTCAGATTTAAAATTTTAATATTTGGTCATTATAGATTTTCCACATTTATTTTGATTTTTTAATAGTAGCATGTTAAATATTATCTTGATTACTAAGTTTTTTGGTGTCCCTTAAATTTTGTGCCCAAAATGACTGCCTCACTCATCTCACCCTAGTTTTTGCCCTACTAGAGGAATTGGATATCTATATGGAAAAAAAAGAGAGAGAGAGAACTCTGATCCTTAGCTCACTCCATACACAAAAAGTAATAAGAGGTGGATTATACATCTAAATGTGAAAGAAAAAAGTCTTCCAGAAGAAACATAGAAGAGTATCATCACAGCCTGGGAGTAGGTAAAGATTTCTTACATTGGAAACATTAAAAAAAAGCACTAACCATAAAAGCAAAAATTGATAAATTGTATTTCATTAAAATTAAGAACTTCTGTTCGTTAACACACCATTGTGAGTAAAAAGGTAAGCCACAGAACGGGAGCATTTATTTTTAATACTTTTATCTAGCAAAAGACTCATATCCATAATATTTAAAGAATTCCTACAAATCCATAAGTAAAAGGCTGACACCCCAATCACTAAAAATTGGCAAAAGAACTGAGCAGGCAGTTCACAAAAGAGAATTTCCAAATGGTCAGTAAACACAAGTTTCTCAATATCATTAATCATCAGGGAAATAAATGCACATTAACACTGTAATGCAATACCAAATATACTCACCAGAGTGACTAAAATGAGAAAGGTGGACAATGCCAAGTGTGGTCAAGAATATGGAGAAACTAGAACTCTCATACTCTACTTGTGGAAGTGTAAATTGGTATAATTACTTTAGAAAACTGGCATCATCTACTAAAATTAAACATACATACCATATGGCCAAGCAGTTCCTCTCCTATTGGCAATTGGATTCCACATCAGCAATATGTCATGTGCAATTAACATCCTGAAACCTTCTTTATCATATAATATAGGTATTTTTTTTTAATTAATCTCTTAAGTCGTTTTTTTTTTTTTAAGATTTTATTTTTTTCCTTTTTCTCCCCAAAGCCCCCGGTACATAGTTGTATATTCTTCGTTGTGGGTTCTTCTAGTTGTGGTATGTGGGACGCTGCCTCAGCGTGGTCTGATGAGCAGTGCCATGTCCGCGCCCAGGATTCGAACCAACGAAACACTGGGCCGCCTGCAGCGGAGCGCGCGAACTTAACCACTCGGCCACGGGGCCAGCCCCAATATAGGTATATTTTAATTATAAAAAATAATCAACTGACTTTTAAAATGCAGTATGCAAGAGGTCCAGACACTGGGTCACGTAAGCAAATTTTTTGTCTATTTATGCCACAACACGTAGTTAAATTTTATTCTACATTTCAGTATACATTGGGTCTCCAAACCAACAAGCATGATATAATGTCACTTTAAAATTTGTTTTCAACAACGTGTGTCAATCTCAAAAATATTATGCTCATCAAAAGAAGCCAGACACAAAAGAATATATACTGTATGATTCTATTTTTACAAGGTTCAAGAATAGGCAAAACTAATCCATGATGGTAGAAATCAGAATAGAGTTTGCCTTTGAGTGGGAGGACAGACTAGAGAGGGACAGGAGGGAACTTTCCGGGATTATGGCAGTGTCTTAGATAATGGGTGTATAAATTTACCAAAACTGTGCACTGTGCATCAAACTGTGCACTTAATATCTGTGCATCTTAGGGTCCGGCCCAGTGGCGCAGCGGTTAAGTGCGCACCTTCTGCTTTGGCGGCCCGGGGTTCGCCGGGTTGGATCCCGGGGGCAGACATGGCACCACTTGGCATGCCATGCTGTGGTAAGTGTCCCATGTATAAAGTGGAGGACGATGGGCACGGATGTTAGCTCAGGACCAGTCTTCCTTGGAAAAAAGAGGAGGATTGGCAGCAGTTAGCTCAGGGCTGATCTTCCTCAAAAAAAAAAAAAAAAAAATCTGTGCATTTTACTGTATATAATTGTACCTCAATAAGAAGTATATTTGTTGGCAAAAAAAAGTTTTTCTTACATAAATATGTAGTAGGAAATTTTATTAATTATTTTATGTAGAAGAGTGATTTGAGTAATTTATGCTATACTTTGTTTTTATTACTGCCTCCTTCTGAGAAAGAAACTAATGTTTCCCCTCACCAAAGAAAGTAGCCAGGCCTTTGTTCTTACAGTCTTGGTTCTCCTAATCCACAGCAGGGAGTTTCAGTGCTGAAAAAATTGGCAGGAATCTAAGAGACAACCCTCACGTAAAGACTAGACCTGTGGAGGATTTTGACCCGAATTGTCCCTGAGGTTTAGTGTTTAGTGCCTCCACGGGTGAGAGAAGGAAGCTGGCTCCCTGGAACTGGGAAACAACAGTGAAAGCTGCAGGTTCACCAGGTAGTGAGGCCAAGAGCCCCATCGAATGTAGCCCTCCTGGTGTTAAGAGCTGAGATGTAGTTGACTGGAAGCCTTAGCAAAGGTCTCTGTGACCAAGCTTGGCACACAGGAGTTGAGGCATGGTTTTTGCCTTCAGATGGCAAAGAAGAAATGCAATAGCTATTCCCATGGCTTAAGGACCTGGCCTTCTGCTATTCTGGATAAACTGCACAAAATCCAGAGTTTTTACACAACACAAAGATTGAGGAGGAAGAACATACTGGACTTTTTGCCAACCTCGGTGATAGGAGGCTTAAGCGAGACTACATTTGATGTAGACAAAGAAATATATTTGCCGTTTCTTACCCCTAACTGTTGTGGAACAATTCATACCCGTTACAGTTAATTTCAGGTCAAATATCATGCATCACTTGTTACATGGGAAAAAGTGGACATCTGTTGCTTACTCTTAAAGATGATATTAAAATGAACTTTGCCATTTTAAAAAACATGCTATTGTAAAATGAAATATTATTTACTTAACATCACTTATATATTGTGAAAAAAAGGACAAAATGATTTTTAAATTCCTAAGGGAGTTGACAAATTTTGACAGTGAAAGAAGTTTGAGAGTCAAAAAGGTTAGGGAATACTGCTGCCAGCAGTGGGATGCTGAGAGATTTTATTCGTTTAGTTGCTTTTAGCCGAGCGACACAGTCAGCTCTGGGAGGTTTTGTGTTTGTGGGTTTTTTTGCAGAGCCAGAGTCTATGCTCTAGGCTGGAAAAAGTTTGAAGGAGACCAGTTAGGAGACTAAATAGTTCAAGAGATAAAGTCCTAGTTAAGACAATGACACTGATTCTGGATTGCTGCGTTTGAGAGATGATTCTGAGAAAAAAATTGAAGGACTTTGTGGCCAAACATATCAATAGCCGTATCTATTTCCAAGATCTAGAGCCTAGGCTGGTGCCGTCCAATAGAATTTTCTATGATGAGGGCTCTATATCGGCTGTGTCCAATACGCTATGGCCTCTAGCCTTGTGTGAGCACTCAAAATGTAGGTAGTGCAATTAGGGAACTGAATTTTAAATTTTATTTAATTTTGATTCATTTAAATTTAAATGGCTGCTTGTGGCCAGTGGATACCAGATCGGGCTGCACAGATCTAGACCATTAATTTGAGCTGCTTGATGAATCTCCACATACATTTTGTAAGCACTTCAAATGTAATAGTTCACTTTCTGCCTCCTACAACACTCACAGCTTCTCCGGTCTGATGTTTCCTATGTTGTTTAAAATGCCATCATCTTGTCAGTCATTCAAGGTTAAAATTGAGAAGTCATTCATTTCACAAGCACATGGAGCACTTATGACATGCCAGGCAGTGCACTAGACACAAGGATGAGTATAGTCCTCATAGGAAAACGATGATAATTTTTATAATTAACTCTTCGTGTTTGAGATTCAATCAGGAAAAAAAAGTCAGCCCCTTCCCTCTCTTTCTGCCTCACTTTCCACATCCAAACTTTCACCACAGTACCCTCCTCCTCTTTCACATCCCCGAGGGCAGAGATTTTTAGTCTCTTCCATTTACTGCTGTATCCATAGCGGTGTGAGGAGTGCCTTGCACATGGTGGGGGTGGGTGATAAACATTTGGGGGAATGAATCCATGTCTTCTTTCTCCACCTTACTGCTCTGATTCATTTCCTTTTCCCGCCTTCCCACTAAATCATTAATATAGCCTCCTATTGGCTTAGCTACACGAGAGAACTACCATATACACTTGCTGGAGTCGTTTAAAGCCTCACTTTCAAAGTGTGGTCCTTAGTCCAACAGCAGTAGCATCACATGGGAGCTTGTTAGAGATGCAGAATCTCAATCCCTACCCCACACCTACTGAATCAGAATCTGCTTTGTAACAAGAATCAGCAGGTGATTCATATGCACGTTAAAGTTTGAGAAGCACTGCACTAAAGCACAGATCTAAGCACATTTTTATCTGGCTTGAAAATCTTTGATGTCTTTCGATTCCATACAGAATAATATTGATATAAAGTTTTCAGCCTAGCATTCAAAGCCCTTGACGGTATGACCTCTATCAATTTTCCAACCTTTTCTCTCACTGAGTTCTCTACACTTCTACACTCCATCCAGATAGGTGCTTTCACCTCTCCTCAAACACATCCAACACTCTTCTGCTTCCCATGCTTTTTCCCAATCTATTCCTTCTGTCTGCGAAGTCTTCCACTACTCTCTTCCACCCACTCTGTCCACCTTCAAAATCCTACCCGTCCTCTGAAGCACTGCTCAAACCTGAGCTCTCCCAGAAGGCATTTTATAGATCCCCCTAGTTCCAAATACTCTCTTTACCTCCCATCTCTACAGCAATGTTTATACCTCTGTTAACTCTTATCACTTTCTCTTTCCTTGAGTTATATAAATATGTGTCTGACTGTCTCCTCCACTTCACCTCGAGCTCTTGGAAGGTGGGGATGGTGTTTTATTCTTCCTCAATGTCTAGTATGCTTCCATATATAATAGTTGCTCAAGGTTTGTTGAAATGAATTGAAGGGAAAAAGATTGAGAGTGACTTATAGGAACATATCCATAGGCACTATGCTAACTCCCCTCTTCCCCCACATCCAGCTCCTCCCATGGCCCAAGATGTAGGAGCTTCTATGGCTGCAGGGGCAGGGAGCAGTGAGTTTCAAGGGAGTGTTACATCACATACCTCCGAGTCTGGATTGGCTGCCACCTGCTCCCTGCTCTGTTTCCTGGAAAACAGTACCCAAAGCCCCCAAACAAGGAAACCAAATAATAGTAGAAAACTGACATATGGTGTCAGTGGGATTGCCAGCCCCCAAATCAGCGCCATTACTCAACCCCATGCCCCTTTCAGCCAAACAGTCTTCTCCCTTAAGGCTGTGTCTCCATATGACATCACAATGGGTATTCCAAGGTGAACCTGACAGGATTCAGCCAATGTGCATGTAGCTTGAGTCTCTTCTCTGAGCCATGCCCATTTTGCTGCTCCTTCCTGCAGCTGCCCATGGGCTCTGCTCTGACAATCAACGCTCTGGGAAGAGCTCCTTTACAACTCTCCTAGGATCAGGCTGGACACCTCATCCTAAAGGAGATAAGGTGGGGAGGCCAGGTTTCAAAGGAGGAGGCCTTCCAAGTGATCTATTGTGCCCTATAAGCATCTTCTCTGGAGCCAGTCATTTCCTACAGGTCCAGGTATGGTATCATATGTTCCAAATCACAAATTAGAATACAGGGTCAATTACCTTTAAGAAAGCTGGGATATTTTAAACTGGTACTCACAGAAAATGTGAGATATATGGCTTCCTAATTCCAAGGCTTGACACACTTCCCAGTTGCTGTTACATTGAGACAGAAAAGAGATGTCATGTAGGGAAATTAAATGACCTTAGAGGATCACTCTACTCCAGAATCTATGGTCTCATTTTCCAAGTCTAGAATATTTATTTTGTTGTTACACCCAGAGTTGACTGGATTCCCTAGGGTTAATTCACTGTAGACAAAATTTACAAGGAATAAATTTCTGTATAACAAAGATAAATAAAACTGGCCAGGGTTTTTTTTTCTTATTGGGAAGTTAATCTGGAAAATCAATTAAGTAACTATTGAAGAGCAGACACTGTCTTAGGAGAAGACAGACATGGTCTCTCACCTCATAGAATTTTCAGTCTATTGGGGCAGCCAAAGTAATATTCTTGAAAAGTCCATCAACAAGGAAGTGGTTAAATGAATATGGTATATTCTGAAATACTCTCCAGTCACTGCAAAAATTATAAAGCATGAAACCTGTCATACTGAGCACACATTATGTGGCAGGTGCTAATTATATGCCAGCACGGAGTTCTAACAAAAGATTAGGGCTGGAGGTACAGTTTTGGTTCTTGAAACATGTATGTACAGTTTGACAAGATCCTTTTTCTATATATATATAAAAATGTATTCTTTGTGTCTTAAACATTTACTCACCATTATATTTGAGAATCATCCATGCTATTTTGTATAGCTGAGATTCATTTATTTTTATTTCATTACATTATATAGCCATCCATAACTTACTTATCTATTATGATATTCATGGACATTTGGCTTGTTTTCCATGTTTGACTCTTATAAACAATGCTGCTAAAAACATGCTTGTCCATGTATCTTGGTGGACATATATTCCTATTTCTCAGTGGCAGTGGTTTTCAAGATTTAACATGCATCAGAATCATTTGGAGGGCTTCTTAAAACACAAATCACTAAGCCCTATACTTAGAGTTGCTGACTGAGTGAGTTTGGGGTAAAGCCTAGGAATTCAGCATTTCTAATAAGTTTCCAGGTGACGCTGATGCTCTTGGTCCAGGGGCCACACTTTGAGCATCCCTGCTCTACAGTATCTACCTAGGAGGGAACTGCTAGGTTACAGAGTATGTGTAACTTTAGTAGGCAGTGCCAAACTGTTCTTCTTAAGTGTTACATCAATTAATACTTTCAGTGGTGAATGGCAGTTTTTCTTGCTCCCTTTTCACGTCAACATGTGGTGTTGTCAGGCTGTTTAATTTTAGCCAATCTAGTGTATGTGGTAATGGTATTTCATTGTGGTTTTAACTTAAATTTCTCTGATTACTAATAATTATTAACTTGTGAACACATTTTCAGAAGTTACTTTGGCACTTGGTCTTTAAATATATTGCTGCATTCCAGTTGCTAATATTTTGTTTAGGATTTTTATCTATTTTCATGAGTGAGACCAGCATGTGATTTTCCCCTCGTTCTGTCCTTGTCGGGTTTTTGGTATCAAGCTTATGCCAGACTCGTGAGTTGGGAAATGTTTTCTCTTTTTTAATGCTCTGAAAGAGTTTGTATAAGATTGGAACTACTTGATCCTTCAACATTTGGTACAACTTTTCGGCAAAGCCATACAAATCTAGAGTTTTCTTTGAGTGAAGATTTTTGACTACAAATTCAACTTATTTGAAAGTTATAATACTATTGAGAATTTGTATTTTTTGAGTCAGCTTTGGAGAATTATATTTTCCAGTAATTTTTCCATTTAATCTACATTTTCCAATATATTGACATAAATTTATTCAATTGTAGTAGTGTCTCCTTGGTTTTTATGACACTGGTTATTTGTGTCTTCTCTCTCTCTCTCTTTTTTTTTCCTTTTCTTTGATCTATCTTGTTAGCGATTTGTCAATTTTAATTAATTCTTTCAAAGAGCCGACTTTCTGTATGTTTGTTTTCTTCTTTTTTTTTAGGTGTGCTTTTTGGTGAGGAAGATTGGCCCTGAGCTAAGATCTGTGGCCAATCTTTCTCTTTTTTTTTCTTCCTAAAGCCCCAGTACATAGTTGTATATCCTAGTTGTATGTCCTTCTAGTTCTTCTGTGTGGCACGCCACCTCAGCGTGGCCTGATGAGCGGTGCTGGGCTTGTACTTAGGAGCCGAACCTGCAAACCCCGGCCCCCAAGTGGAGCTCACGAATTTGACCACTATGACACTGGGCCGGCCCCTGTATGTTTGTTTTCTATTTCAATAATTTCTCCCTTTGTCTTTATTTCCTTACTTCTACTTCCTTTTTTCCTCCCCAGCTTTATAAAGTATAATTGACATATCTACTTCTACTTTCTTTGGATTTATTTTGCTGGTTTTTTTCCTAACTTACTTCTTGAGATGAATGTCTAGATCGTTCACTTTTAGCCCTTTCTCCCTAATACTATGCATGCATTTGAGGATATAAATTTCCTCCTAATTACTAATATAGCTTCGTTCCACAAGTAATGATACAGAGAATTTTTGTTATCGTTCTTTTCCAACTATTTTCTAATTTCCCATTATTTCCCATAATGATTTCTTCTTTGATCCATAGGTTATTTAGTAGTTCATTTTTAAATTTCTAGACATATGAGGATTTTCTAGTTATCTAACAAAGTTGGATTGTGCTCCAAATATATACTTTAATTTAAATCCTTTGAAATGTTTTAAGACTTTATTCCCAATTTATGGTCAATTTTAAAAAGTCTATGCATTCTTAAAAATAAGATGTATCCTGCAGGTGTTAAACATAGTGTCTGTCTGTGTCCACTTGGTCAAGTCTTCTAATCTTGATGTTCAAATCTATATTACTCCTAAGCTTTTGTCTGCTTTTTTCCATCAATTACTAAGACAAGTGTGTAAAATTTCCCTCTATGATTGTGGATTTGTTTAGTTCTCCTTTGAGTACTATGGATTTTTGCTTCATATAATTTTAATTATTTAAAATCATAATTTATTCTGGGTAAATTAAATTTTTTTTTTTAAAGATTGGCACCTGAGCTAACAACTGTTGCCAATCTTTTTTTTTTTCTTCTGATTTTTCTCCCCAAATTCCCTCAGTATATAGTTGTATATTTTAGTTGTGGGTACTTCTAGTTGTGGCATGTGGGACACCATCTTAATGTGGCCTGACGAGTGGTGTCATGTCTGCGCCCAGGATCCGAAACAGCGAAACCCTGGGCCGCTGAAGCAGAGCGCGCGAACTTAACCACTTGGCCACAGGGCCAGCCCTCAGAATTAAATCGTTGATCATTATGAAGACCCTCTATCTCCAGTAATACTTTTTGCCTTAAGTTATTTTATCTGATATTAATATTGCTATAGCAATTTTTTTTGGTCAGTATTAGGATGGTCTATCTTTTCCCATTCTTTTACTTTTGACCTTTTTTATGCCTTTAATATTGGATAGAAAACAAAACCTAAATATATACTATTTACAAGAGACACATCTAAAACAGATTTTAACTGTATTATGTATTCCATTTACATTTAATGTAATTACTAAATTATTTGGATCAAAATCTACTCGTTTATTTTGTAGTTTCTATTTTGTTTTGTTTCATATTTCTTTTTCTGTCCTTTCTTTCCTTTTATTTAGATAACTAAAGTCTTTTTTAATGAATTGCTCCATTTTCCACTTTACTAATTGGAAGTTGTACTCTCTCTTTTTCTTTTAGTGCAGGGGTTGGCAAACTATGACCTGTGGGCCAAATCTAGCCTGAAGCCTGTTTTTGTAAATAAAGACTTATTGGGGGGGCCAGCCCCATGGCCAAGTGGTTAAGTGCCTGCGTTCTGCTTTAGCCACCCAGGGTTTCGCAGATTTGGATCCTAGGCATGGATCTAGCACCACTCATCAAGCCATGCTGAGCACCACTCACAAGCCACAACTAGAAGGACCCACAACTAAAAAAATATACAACTAGGTATGGGGGGGCTTTAGGGAGAAGAAGGAAAAATTTTAAAAATTAAAAAAAAAAGATTTATTGGAACACAGCCATACTCACGTCACGTATTGTCTATGTGTGCTTTCACACTACAATCATAGAGTTGAGTTGTTACAATGGAGACCACAGGGTTTGCAAAGACTAAAATATTTACTATTTATCCCTTTACAGAAAATGTTTGCCAGCCCCATTTTTAGTGGATACCTTTTAAAATGCAATACGCATACTTAATATATCAAATTCTTAAAGTAATCAAAACCTTTATCCTCTTTATGGATAAATCAAGGTCCTTGGAATATTTTAACTCTATTTACCCCTTCCCACATATATGGAATATTAATTTTATTTTTTAATAAACTTTATTTTTGAATAATTTTCGATTTACAGAAAAGTTGCAAAGATAATACAGCGAGTTGCCATACACCCATCACCCAGTTTGGCCTAATGTTAATATCTTACACAACTTTGGTACATCTGTCAAATCTATATGATTAACACTGGTACATTTACTTTTAACTAAACTCCAAACTTCATTCAGATTCCATCAGTTTTTCCACTGATGTCCTTTTTCTGTACAGGATCCAACCCAGGTACCATGTTGTATTTAGTTGCCATGCCTCCTTAGTCTCCTCTGGTCTGTGACAGTTTCTCAGTCTTTCCTTGCTTTCTATGACCTTGACAGTTTTGAGAAATACTGGGAAGATCTTTTGTAAAATCTTCTTAAATTTGGGTTTTGCTGATGTTTTCCTTATGCTTAGACTAAGGACGTGTTTTGGGAAGAATATCACAGAAGTGACATGCCCGTCTCATTATATCATATCAGGTGGTACATGATATCAACTGGTGATGGTATTCTCCACTACCTGATTAAGGGAATGTTTGCCAGGTTTCTCCACTATGAAGCTACTATTTTGCTTTTTCCATACTCTGTTCTTTGGAAACAGGCCCCTAAGTCTAGCCCCACTGGGGTTCTAGGGAGTGAGGGGTTATTAATCTCCATCTCTTGGAGGGGGTTTGTCTACGTACATATATTTTTCAAAATTCTTGTGTGGGGAAGATTTGTCTCCTCTTCTTATTTATTTATTCAATTATTTTGTTATATCAGTATGAACTCATGTATACTTATTTTGTACTTTGTGTTATAGTCCAACACTATATAATTTATTTTGTTGCTCAAATTTTTCCAAATTTGGTCATTGGGAGCTTTTTCAGGTTGGCTCCTGTGTCCTTTTAACACGACCCTATCCTTTTGTTTTTATGAGCATTTCTTCACTTTCTGGCACTACAAGATGCTCCAGGCTCCTCTTCCTATCTCTTTCTCCCATGCCATACCACCCCAGCCATCAGTTTATAGGTAAGCCCAATTCTTCTCTCTTCCAGGATGGAAGCACTTTACACTGCTTAAATGCAGTGCCTGTCCTCTCAGCCCTAGGATTTGACACATATATCCAAACCATACCTGAGTTTGGATTGGATCTTAAACATTTTGTTGTGCTTGTAGGGCCCATCCCTGAAACCACGTTGGTGCCCCTTTGTCTTCTATCTGGTCCCAACATCCTCCTTCAACCTTACTCTCCCATGTGACCTAGAATCATCCTGTCTAATATTCAAGACCACCTAAGTTATGAAAAGAATAGCTGATCTGGAGGAGAAATCATGGGTTCCACTTTTTTATATATTAAGTTTGAAGTATATGTCGTATCCAAATATCTTCTGCCCCTTCACCTCTTATTTTTGATCCAGCAAATAGGTGTAGCAAGAAATTGTTTCCTTCATCTTCCACAATCCAACCAGTCTCCTAGGATAGACCCTTTAGTCATCTCAGCATAATTACTGCCCTGTGTTGACAACAGACTACTCTCTAGTTGTTCTTGCCTTCAGATGTTTGCTTTCTCCAAATAACGGCAAAAGTTGTTACCCTACCATTTGTCTCTGGATAGTTCTAAAAAATCTTTGAATCTCTTTAGCTCTGCTTAGAGCTCAGGTTCCACTGACAATGACCTGACTCTCTGTTATTGGATCCACACACCAGTGCAAGCCTCCAAAGATTCCCAGATTTTCTTTGGATATTCTCTCACCTGACCCCAACCTCCTTTCTTCCAAAATTTTCCTTGATTCTTGGCCTACCCTGTAATCTCCCAAAACAACTCTGGCAGCTCTCTGTAGCTAGCCTGCTGTTCCAATCCACTTCAGCTCTCTCTGTCTTGTATTGGAATTGGACATATGTGCTTGTGAGTTCCTAGGGGGTAGGGATCAGATCTCAGTCACCTTTGTCTCCTCCACAAGCCAGAGAGCGTATCCAGCCTCTAAAGTCCCCCAAGGTGAGCACTACTCCACCTTGTTCATAACACCTGAATCTCATATGAAAGTGTATAAGAATTGAATTCACTTGATGTCTTTGTACCATCCAACTACTTGGCAAGGAAAAAGAAAAACTCTGGGCTTCTAGAGTCCTTCTGCATCCAGCCTTGGGGAAATCAGACCCATATCCATTCCACATGTGGGAGTGGTGCTACTGCACATGTTGGCATCATCAACAGGATCAAAGGATGCTGTGCTTTCCTGGACCCTGGAAAGCTGAGTGTCTTCTCTGACTTGATCCTGCCCATGATGCCAAGATGAGAGAGGAATTTACCCAGTGAAAGCATATGGAAGAGAGTTGTGGGTAAGGAGAAACATAGAGCTTTTGCAGGATCCTTTCCTAACTTCACCCATCTTGAGTTGTAGAGTTAGGAACAGGTGTTTGTGGAGGATGAAAACCAAAGGGATGCCACTAAGAAGGCACTGAGAGAGTGATGGCTGAGGAAAGGGATGTTGGTTAAAGATCCAAGTTAGCAACGTAAATGTAGACGTAGAACAGGAAAAAGGAGGCTCACAGATATATGGAGGGCCCTATGGAGGCCTTTAAAATGTTGGTCACTCTATCCTCAAAAAACCAAAATCTATTTGGCTCCTTAGTCACCCTCCTGCCTAAAGGTTCAAGTGAGCTTCACAGAGGCTTTGTCCTCAGCGAGTGCCTGGGTGTCTATTACCGGGGTATTTCTCGCACACAAGGGGGCGCCAGTCCTCTACCATCAGAGTCATACGTCATAGGCGCTGAAGAGATGGCATGGGTCTGGGATGAGCAAGGGTGCCTTTGATTTGTCAAAACAGGTAACAGCTGAAGTCTAAAATGTACAGACTGGGGTTCCTAGTGCTTATTGGGTCCCACCACCAAAGGGTGTTCAGCACCCCCAGAGTCCCTTACGTTCCCCTTACAAACACTGGGCAGGGGATGCAACTCTCACTTCATAGTCTAATGTGTGGATGTAGCGTTCATTCTAGTAAGAAGGATCCTGTCATGATAAATGGGGATTGTCTTTTTTCTGGGTATCCTATGTTGGGGGTACAACTTCTTCCCTCTTCCCCTGGAATTACCTAAGTTCCCGCCTCTCCTTGTTTGTGTGATTCTGTGTAGGAGTGGAGCGTGTGTGCATGCGCATGCACACGCACACCTACATGTTGGAGATGGGAGATGTAGAGATGCTGGAATAAGGTTTGGGTCAGTGGCCAATTTAATGTGGTTAGGGGACGGGGGGAGAAGTAAAGAAACAAACTTGCTATTGGGACCAACCCATCCCACCCATCTTGTCCCATGTCTGATCTATTGACTCTGATTTACTGAGTGTGGAAGTTTAACTTTCCAAAACAAGCCTTTTAGTTTTATTTCTGAAATCAGAATATGCCAGTGAAAGTGGAGATCACTGAGTCAGGAGCAAGAACTCCTCCAAAGTAGATTCTTTCTCTCCACCCTGGGCTGCTGGTTCCCCTGGGTGACCTCTCCTCCCACCACATGTGCTGCTGGCCCAGCAAGCCCCCATGGGCTGGGCTGGGCTGGTCCCCTTCACACACACGGAAACACCGGTTCACTGCAGGGCAGGCTCAAGAGTCTCAAGGGGCTCCGCACTGCGCTTCCGACCTGGCCCAGTGAGGGCGCTCCTGACAGCCTCACAGACGGAGGGAGCTGCAGCCAAGTGTGCCTGTGCTTCAGGGATGGAGCACCGGAATAGGAGGCTCAGCAAGGCTATGGGGATCACCTGCAAGGAAGAGGCAGGGAGAACTGAAGCCTGAGAAAGTGAGGTCATCTGAGGAAGAAGCCTGGAGCAGCTAGAGCATTTGGTCTGGGAGTCAAACAACCAGGTTGGATGCAAGAATGGAAGGGAGCTATCAAGACCAGAAATTGTAATGAGCTGGGTCAAGAGCAGAGAGAAACCTTCTCTCGGGCCCAGAAAACTCCTATTCATCCTTCAAACCCCAGTTCAAAGACCTCTTCCCTCTCTTTTCTGACTCCTCTCCTAGGCAGAACTGAAGACCCCTTTTCTGCATCCCAGTAGTACCCCTTCACACCTACAATCATGTCTCCCCCATGAACAGGGAGCTCCTTGGCACAGTGTCACTGAACTTTGTAAAACCGTTGCCAAGCAAAGTTCCCGACACACTGAAAGTACTCAATAAGTGTTTGCCAAATGACTAGCAGTCAGCAGGGTACCTGTTCCTTCTCATGTGCAACCTGGATGTGGAAGGAGATGGGAGCAGCCCGAATATCATCCGACAGTGGCTGAGGGAAGTGGATCACCTGGAGGAGGCTCTCGATACATGGAGCCTTAGGCTGTCCAGAGAACCGCTGTGGAAGAAGTGGTAAGGTCAGTGTTGAGCTAGAAGGCCAGGGGAGCTGAGAATGGGGTTCAGGGAGGAGAAAGAAGCGGGAGAGTGGGAGGCTGGGATCCCAAAGACTGGCTAAAGAGGCTGTAGAGAATTCATCCCTGTAGGCAATCCCAAACTCACAATCCCCAGGTAGAAAGAAAAATTGGGGTAGAGGGGTTAGTGGTGGGTCTTGATTGGCTGGGTTAAACTGAGGATTAATAGCAAATTTGTCACATTTTCAGCCATTTCCCACCAACCCCATTGGTTGGTAATCTTAATCTGAACTCCTCTCTCTGGTTTCCTCCCTAACTGTGTCCATCCTTTACACCGCTGTCAAGACTGTGCATCTGCAAACACTGCTTCTATTTTGTCACCACCCTCCCCTCTGTCTAGCTTAGCACTGTCCAATAGAAATATAATGTGAGCCACATATGTAATTTTAAATTTTCCAGTACTGCATTTAAAAAGAAACAGGTAAAATACATTTTAATCATGTTTTAATCTAATATATCCAAAATATTATTTCAACATGTAAACAATATTAAAAATTATTAGTGAGATATTTTACGATATTTTTGTACTACGTCTTTGAAATCCAGTGTGTATTTTACAGTTATAGCACATCTCAATTCAGGTGCTGAATTTCAATGAAGAAGTGAAATATAGTTCTACCAACACCATACAGTTGCATTTAATTTTTTAAAAAATTACACTGCTTCAATTTTTAAATAAAATTTTTCAGTTCAGTTCCTCAGTCACACTTGCCACATTTCAAGTACTCAATAGCCACATGTGGCCGGTGGCTACCATTTTGGACAGTACAGGTCTGGCTAAATTTGGCAAGTCCAAATTCCTGTCCGGCTTTCAATCTTCCACAATCTCTCCCCTTCCTGCTCCCTCATAATCCCTCACTACTCTGTAAATTGACTCTCCACTGTGGTCAGACCTGTGTCCCCGACATATTGTGCCTTCTGGGCCTTGGTAAATGTTCTTTTTAACAAAAATGCCCTTCTGTCCTTCACCTATTCAAGGCATAACCACTAGGCCCAGCTCAAATACCAGCTCTTCCATGGAACCTTCTCTTCTGCTATCGTGCATATGGACTCTACCTTCTTTGAAGTTCTTTGGACTTCAGTAAGGATCATGCAATGTGACACTTAATTGTTCTCTGTTTCAAATGTTGGTTTTGTCTTTCCTCCATTTTCCTCCAAGGCCACTCCGGGATGGCAAGAACTGGATTATATGTACCTCTGGCTCCTCCTACCCACCTCAACCCCAGCAACTAGAAGAGCATTTTTTCCTGGTGGTTGGTTGGTTCTACTCATTTGAGAAGGTTGTTTTAGGGACCTGGCGGGTGTTCATTAAGCGCTCATTGTTGGATTCCTTTCAAGTAGGGTTGCCAGATTTAGCAAATAAAAATAGAAGACACTAGGGGCCGGCCGGTGGTGTAGGGGTTAAGTTCGTGCACTCCACTTCAGCAGCCCCGAGTTCATGGGTTAGGATCCTGGGCGCGGACCTGCACACTGCTCATCAAGTCATGCTGTGGCAGCATCCCACATACAAAACAGAGGGAGATTGGCACAGATGTTAGCTCAGGGCCTCTTCCTCAAGCAAAAAGAGGAAGATTGGCTATGGATGTTAGCTCACAGCCAATCTTCCTCACACACACACAAAAATACAAGACACCCAGTTAAATAGGAATTTTAGATGAATAATGAAAAAAATAGTATAAGTATGTCTCAAATAGTTCATGGGACATACTTATGCTAAAAAGTTATTCTTCATTTATCTGAAATTCAAATTTAACTGGTGTCCTATATTTTTATTTGCTAAATCTAGCAACCCTACTTTCATGATCATCTGTTGTGCTATCTGCTCTGTATCCATTCCTCCTCCTTCTGGTATCAGTACCCTGATTTTCCTCTGGGGAACTATTGCTCTCCCATCCTCAGGCCATGCTGTTTGATTGTGGCTCACTTCCCACCCCTTCCTCCACTGCCATCTTGAAGGGAGAGCATATGAACCAAGCCTGGGCAGAAAGCTGCTTTCCCCTGGAGAGCAGTGACTGGCTCTCCAGCAGGGACGGGCATGTGACCCAACATGAGCCAATGAGAGCACTCCTCCAGGCATCTGCTGGAACCAGAGGGACAGATAAACTCTCCGTCTACTCGGGTTGCTAAATTGGTAGGATGTTAGGCTGGCACTGCTGCTGGCAAATTTGCCACCTAATGGAGAAAACCTGCCTGAGAATGAGAGCAACACAGAGGAAAGCAGGGCCAAGGGCTGAAAGTTCTGGAGCACATCGTTTTGAGTATCTGGATCTAGCTACCCTGCAACCGTTCAGTCACATGAGCCAATCATTTATCTTGTTTAGCTTAAATCAGTATGAACTGGATTTCTGTCACATACTTATAACTGAAAGAATCTTGTCTAATAGTTATAATTTCACAAACACCCACCCACATGTGCACAAACACTCCTTAGAGGGGAGGATGAGCCTGATCGAAGGAGGAGGAGAAACACAAGAGAAAAGTCAGCCCTTGCCCCCACACATCTCCATACCTCTGCAAAATGCCCCCCTATGACAGCCTGACAGCCTAGGCCTTGAGGCCAGGCCCCAAACAGCCCTGTCCCATCATGTCCTACCTGAAGCATGGCCAGTGCCCGCCAGAAGAGCTTGGAGTTGCGAATGCGGAGGTCCGACATGTGGTTTTGGAGGATCTTCCCAAGAAGTACATGGGCCCCCATACTCACTGTATTTAGCACCCACTTGGTGCTGAGCTCATGCTGGAACTTCTAAATAGGGCAGACACATGGGGTATTGAAAATTAGAGGATAGTAGGGCAGCAGGGAGAACAAGGCCCTAGTATCAGACAGGAATCCAGAGATCAAAAATCAGGGGTCAAAATGCAGACATAATTTGTTTGACCAGCCCAGATTTTAGGTGTTAGGACAGTTATCGTAAACCAGGACTGTCCCAGGCAACACTGGTTGCTTCACACATTTTTGGTTTTGACCCCTAGTAGACAGATATCTTCTCTGAATCCTTCCACAGTAGGATTTTGCTCTTACCAGAACTTCCCTTTTGCTCCCCAGTCACCAGACAGGGGAAGAAATGGAAGTTCTGGGATTCATTCTGCTAAACCAAAGGCTGCTTGAACGCAGAGATGGTATCTTATTCTGCTCCAGAGCCTCAGTCTTTTTGAGAATGGCTGACACATGGTTACTGATCAATATGTGTTTGTTGAAAAATGAATTCAATTTAATCCTTATAACAACCTTACGAAATAGGTTTTTCTAACCCCATTTCTACGTATATGGAAACTAGAGGTTTGAAGTAAATTAACTTGAATAAGCTCATCATGTGACTGTGAGACGCAGAATCAGGACCTCCAGACAGGCTTCCTGAGTCAGTGATGAGGGCATTTCCTGCTTTGCCACAACCATCTCCTGGATGAACGAGATAATGTACGTGAAAGCACGTTGAAAACTAAGACGTTGTACAAACACACAGAACTGTGAGTCTAATTATCACCTGTCCTTAGCCCTTATATCTTGCACTTATAACGTCTATTACTGCACTTTGAGGACAATAGGAGTCCAGTAAAGAAATTGAGGGAATTAATTACTTGGTCCTAACTAGGCTGAGGAAACAGGCTATTGCTACTTCTACCTCCTTATTCTGGAACTCCAGAAATAGCTGGTCATACAAACCCCTGGCAGGGGGTATATTGAAAATACTTAACAAGTGATTGACAAAGGCACTGAGTATCAGAGCAGAAATCTGACCCAGCAGAATGAAGCTGGCTAGTATGCAGTACTGATGCTGTAGGCTGCATGTCAGACTGCCCTGCAGGAGAGAAAGCAATCACATCTGAGTTATATCGTTAACCATTTATATCACTCACCATTTATACCATTAACTGCCATTAACACAAAAATATTTTAAAGTTTACATAATTTGAAGCTGGACACCTGCATTTTCAAGTTCATATATTAAAAAGGCAGCAATTCTACCTAGGAAAATCATTAAAAAGAAGAATAATGAAGGGAGGACTAACCTTATCAGATATTAAACAAACCATAAAGCCTATATAATTAAACAGTATGGTACCAGCACATCAATAGACAGACCCGTAGAACAGGACAGAAAGTCCAGAAATAAAACAGTGCACATGGGAACTGAGTATCTGATACAGGTAACATCTCAAATCTCTCAGAAAAAGATGAACTTAAAAAATATATATTGGGTCAATTGGAGAGTCATTTAGAAAAATACAAAATTGGGTTCATATCTCATCCCACACACGAGAATAAACTCCTAATGAATTGAAGATCTAAATGCAAAAAAAGAAGTCATTTTTACTAGAAGAAAACACAGGTGGAGTTCCTTCACAATCTGGGGGAGCTTTCTGTGTCTCAAGATCTAGATTCAGTAAAAGATGGATTGATAAGTTATACACCGGAAAAATTAAAATAAAGACTTCTGCATGGTTAAAACCAAAAGAAAATATTTATAATACATATCAGAAATAAAGGACTAATGTCTCTAATTTATAAAGAACTCAAAATCAAGGGATCATAAAGATTATAATGCCATTAGAAAACGAGTATATCTCATGTATTTACATGAACACACAATTCACAAAGAAAAAGATTTGCTCAAGACTGTTAAGCATATGAAAAGATGCTCAACTTCACACATGATAAGCAAAATACAAATGAAAACTACACAGAAATAGAATTTCTCATCTATCAGATTGGCAAAAATTCAAAAGCTTGAACTCTCAAAGAGGCTGTAGGGAAGCAGGCATTCTCATATTGCTGGCACAAGAAGCAAAATGGTACAACACCTATGGAGGGAATTTTGCAATATCTAACAAAATTACGTATGTATTTATCCTTGACCCAGTTCTAATACTTCTAGGAATTTACTCCAGAGATACACTTCTAATGTTACAACAATACATGCACATTCATTGCATCATTATTGGTGATAGCAAAATATTGGAAACAACCAAATGCCCTATATAACTCTTACACGTGTACAATCGCACATGAATGTAAAAACAATGAGGAAGAGCTCTACAAACCAAAATGGAGTTATTTTTAGATTATCTAGTTAAAGCGCAAAAGCATATCTAGTATGCTACCTCTTGTACAAGAAAGAAATGCCAAATACATACATATGTATACATATACATGAATATGATCAAACGCGGCGTCAGCAATAAGAGGACAAACTGACATCAGGGGCCTCCTGATGCGATTCACTGATGGAGGCCTCATCTATGCAGTACTCCTGCCCAAAAATTTAAACTGAATATAATGAAGAAACAATCAGGGAAATCCAAATGAGGTATATTTTGGAAAACAATTGGTCTAGTCTTCTAAAATATCAATGTCCTGAAAGAAGTAAAAAATGGCTGAGGAACTCATCCAGATTAAAGGAAACTATAAAGACCTGATAATTAAATTCAATGCATTATCCTTGGTTGGATCTTGGATCTGAAAACTACAAACAATACAGGAGGGGCCGACCGGATGGCATAGGGGTTAATTTCCCACATTCTGCTTCAGCGGCCCGGGATTCACCGGTTCAGATCCCAGGTGCGGACATGGCACCGCTTGGCAAGTCATGCTGTGGTAGGCGTCCCACGTATAAAGTAGAGGAAGATGGGCACGGATGTTAGCTCAGAGCCAGTCTTCCTCAGCAAAAAGAGGAGGATTGGCGGCAGATGTTAGCTCAGGGCTAATCTTCCTCAAAAAAAAAAAAAAGCATACAGGAATAATTGGGGAAATTTGAATACGGTCTGTATATTAGACAATAGTATTAATTGTCATTTCCCTGAGTGTGATGATTACATTGTAGTTATGTAGGCAAATGCCCTTGTTCTTAGTGGACACAGTAATTTGTGTCGTGTCATGATATCTCCAATTATTTCTCAAATGATTCCGGGGAAAAGAGAGATGAAGCAGATATGGCAAAATGTTAACGATTGGTGACTCTAGGGGAAAGTATGTGGGTGTTCATTGCACTATTCTTGCAAATCTTCTGTAGGTTTGAAATTTTTCAAAAAGTGTGGATGGAGTTTACATCAAAAAAATTTCTACAACAAAAGATTTACAAGCCCAAATGGAAGCCTCCTTATTTCAAGCAATTTCAATACATTTAGAAAGATAACAAAATCAAGCGAAAGACAAAAACCATGCACAAAAAGATCAACTACATACAAATGTAAATAAAACATCCCTACACCAAAAATACAGAAATAAAAAGGGGCTGGCCCAGTGGAACAGCGGTTAAGTTCACACGTTCCACTTCTCGGCAGCGCAGGGTTCGCCGGTTCGGATCCCGGGTGCGGACATGGCACCGCTTGGCACACCATGCTGTGGTAGGCGTCCCACATATAAAGTAGAGAAAGATGGGCACAGATGTTAGCTCAGGGCCAGGCTTCCTCAGGAAAACAGAGGAGGACTGGTAGTAGTTAGCTCAGGGCTAATCTTCCTCAAAAAAAAAATATGTATATATATATATATACATATATATAAAATAAATAAAAAATAATAATAAGCTGGGGCAAAGTATAGAGCAGGAAAAGAGGCTACTGTTCTTGCTATATACCCTCTCTCTTATAAATTAGTAAGAAAAATAAATACTCCAAAAAAGAGTGTGTGAATACACCCAAAAGATGTGAAGCAGCAAAATAAAGAAAAAAATTCAATGGCCAATTTATCTTTAAGTAGTCAAACTCCATAGTAATTAAAGAAATAGAAATTAAAACAGCATTGAAATGGGAAGCCAGCCCCAGTGGTCTAGTGGCTAAATTCAGCATGCTCCACTTTGGCAGCCTGGGTTCAGTTCCTGGGGGTGGACCCACACCACTCTGTTAGTGGCCATGCTGTGCTGGAGGCCTGCATACTAAAAAATATAAGAAGATTGGCACAAATGTTGGCTCAGGGCAAATATTCCTCAGCAAAAAACCACAAAAACAAAAAAACATATTTGTATGTATTTATGAAAAAATGCCTTTTGCTTTGCCTTTTTTTTTGCTTTGCTGACTAGTGAAGATTAAAAAGAACAATACTACCCAATATTTGAAGGATGTGGAGGAACAAGCAATTTTACACTTCATCTGTTTATAAACCTCTTTGGAGGTCAACTTGACCATATGTATCAAAAAGCCTTAGAATTTTACATACCCTTTGACCCAGTGATTCTATTTTTGGAGGTTTATCCTAATGAAATAGTCAAATGTGTGATTAAGAATGTTCAGCGCAGCATTATAACAAAAGCCATAATGTTGAAACTACCTACAATGTCTGACATTTGGGGTTAGAGTAAACAAATTATGGTATATCCACACAGTAGAATACTACACTGACATTAAGAATGATAATGAAGATATCTTAGTATAGAAAGGTGTTCATGATGTTAAATGAAGAGAAGCAAGTAAAAGACAGCATGTCAAGTAGGGTTTTTGTACAAATACATACAAAAGAAGTCTAGAGGGACATGAGACATTCTCCAAAATTTGTCTAAGAGTGATTTTTTAGAAGAAGGTGGATTATGGATGACTTTTTTCTTCTTTGGATTTCTGTATTTTCTAAAGTTTTCACAAGAAAAATATTTGTTATATAATTACAATTTTCTTTAAAAATACAGGTTTTGGGGGGGTTTTTTGCTTGAGGAAGATTAGCCCTGAGCTAACACCTGTGCCAATCTTCCTCTATTTTGTATGTGGGTCACTGCCATGGCATGGCTGATGAGTGGAGGGAGGTCCATGCCTGGGATCTGAACCCAAGAACCCAGGCTGCTGAAGTGGAGTGTGCCGAACTTAACCACTGCAACGCAGGGCCAGCCCCTAAAAATACAGTTTTTTAAAAGAGCACAGATTAATATTCCACAGTATATCCCCTATCCCTGGAACAGTACCTGGCATTTGATAGGTGCTTAAAAATATTTGTTGAGTGAATGAATAAAATAATCTGGCTCAACTTATGGATATGTTTGAAATTTATATTTTATGGTGAAATAAACCATGGACTTAGGGTCGCAAGACCTCAGTTCAAGTCCTGACTCCTGTCTTAGCTGTGTTGGCCATGATTACAATCCCATAATCTCTTAGTTGCAGCTTCTTCACCTGGGAAATGGGGACATTAAACACACATTCCTTAGGAGATTGTTATGAGAACTAGATAATATATATGAAATATTTTATAAAGTACAAAGGCCTATATGTGTATTAGGTATTAGGGCTGTACAATGAAACTTGTAAGTGTGGAGAGGAATATAACATAAAGGAGGGGTCTAGATGACGTGGGTTTAATTGGAGAAGACTTCCTAGAAGATGTGAGATCTCAAAGGAGACAGTGAATGTGGAAAGCATGCCAAGAAGTAAGGATGTGACAAATGAGCACCACTTGGAAGGGAAGACAAAAATGTACATTGGAAGGAGCATGGATCCCCCGCTCATGGGGAGAGGGACTTCCGATGAGTTCTGAGTGCAGGTAAGGCAGAATGCCAGCTGTTGTCTGGTCAAGTCAGGAACTTCCCGGAGGAGGTGGTTTCAATAATGGATGGGACGACATCTCTCCAGGGCAACCCTTCAGGGCCTTGGTTCTGCCCCATGGATCCTGGACAGGTGTCATGTGAGAAAACTGAGGACCAGAGATGTAAAACTGGTTTTTTTCCTTGGGCCACAAAGTAGAGCTGAACTGGCACCTAGACATCCTGAGGCCCACTCCAAACCCTAAACTGCAAAGTGCACCCAAACTGATGATTATTTCTATAATTATTATTAGTGCTTGTACTGGATTATAATTTCGTTAGTAAGCAGGAACTATATTAGCGTAACATTATGTGCAGTGAATTCAGTATAGGGCAACTTGCAAAAAATCTGCCTTAAAGGATCTTGGATAATGAGGATGACTATAGTATGACAATTAACTTGTGATAAAGTACAAATGAGTATCTATCAGGTGATTGGTAGCCTATCTTATACTTTTTGCATATTCTTAGAACTGAATGCCATAGCCTTGGAAATTCTGACTAGTGACCTGGTGACATAAGAACTTGCCCAGCTGGCTTTGTGGAAGTCAGACAAAGCTTTCTACTCTCCAGCCTTGGGTTTTCTAATTTCTGGAACCCCTCCTCCTCTGACCACCTCACTTCAGATATTACCTTCTCATTCCCCATACCTGGATGAAGTTCCCTTCATATTCAAAGAAAAGCAGTGGCCATGTGATGCTGATGATGGAGGGAAAGAGCTTCTTCAGAGTGGTCTGAAGAGAGAGAAAGAGGAGCAGGAGCGGCATCTCCAGGGAGGCCTTGCTGTGACTGCTGCCCAGGGTCCCTTCCTCAAGGCTGGACCCTCACCGGCAGGGACTGCCCCACAGTGCTGTGTGCCAAGGCCTGGATGTGGGAGGTCTTCTCTTTCACCTGCTCCACCAGTGTCTGCACCTCCGTGAGGTTGTCTAGGAGAGGGGGAGGGCATTGGAGTTGAAAAGCTGGCTGTTCAGCCCTTCTTCCTGCTCCTCTGGGGTCCATAAGGACACATACCCGTCTCTCCCTCTGAGAAGGTGTCCTAAGACCCAGAAAAATGACAGTTCCTCTGAGTCACTGTACTCCCTCCATCCCCTCACTCCACCACTCCCATCATCCCTCTCACCGTCCAGGGTAAAAATGAAGACCACAGTGTCAATTTCCTTGAGGGACGGCAGGATGGAGGTTAGGAAGTCCTCCTGGGAGAAGGAGAACTGGGGACCCTGGAGCAGAAGAAGATGAGAGTCCCTCCTATGAAAAACTCCAGTGCACAGACTTGGAGACTAAAGAGAGCCTTAGAGAACATCTAATGCAGCACTTTTGTCTACAGATGAAAAAAATGAGATTCAAAGGGGTAAAGCATTTTGCCCAAGATTATACAGCAAGTTGATGGAAGAGCACTAGACTAGAGCCAGGTTTGGGCGTGAATCCAGAGCTTTCCACACTGTGCTGCCCCAAAGCTTCATGACCTCTAAGCCACATTCCCTTCTCTAGACTGTCTGTTCTATCGTGCTGCCCACCTAACTCCACTTTCCCTTTTCCTCCCACCTTCTGCACACCAGTCATCTTCACAACTTCCCCAGGTCCCACCATCCTCCCACCTGGTTGATGAGATCAGCCTTCTGGGTAAAAATGTCACTGTGATCACCAATGAGAAAGCCACGGACATCTTGGAAATCTGGGAAGTTTAAGAAAAGGGAGAGAGGAGTGATGGGCTTTATTGGAAAGGAAGGTTCTAGGCTTGAGGGGATGTCAATGGGGCTGGGAAGAAAGTGTCAGGTGGGAATTAGGGTGAGGAGTAACACACATGTGAGGCCACAGCTAAGTACAAGGCTGGGAGTTAAGGGATCAAGGACTGAGTGGGGGTTCAAAGGAAGGAGCGTTTGACTGAAATGACTATTTAGATAGGGCAGGGTGGACATTGAATGAGGAACTCCCATGAGGTGGGAGTAGGAAACTGTTTGGATAACGGACCAATTGGTTTGGTTCAGGAGGAATCAGGAAGAAAGTCTCAACTGGGTTCTCACCAGCACCGAAGGTGTGGATGCACTCTACCCCATCCATGATGGCAATGATGCCGAGGGTCTGCCAGCCAACCAGGTACACTTGGCCTTTTTTCTCTAGGCTGAGAATGGGTCAGAGATCAGGACGTGAAAGGAGAGATCACAGTCAAAAAAGGCCAGCGATCAGAGAAAGATGCACATGGAAGAACACGGTAGTAAACTAACAAAAAGCCTACTGTGAGCCTTCAACATGCAGGCCCGTTCCCCTCACCATGTTAACATGTCTCGTAGAGTCTCCTCTGCTCTCAGGACATTCCCTTCTAGGCCACTTCCCCCCTCCAAATATGTTTCCACATACCTAGTGCTGGCTTGCTTCACCAGGGCGGCAATCTTGGGGCTTTGACTATAGGTCACCTGATGAGCCCGCTCAAATGTCCGCAGGATTTCCAGAAGGCACCTGGGAGAAAGGCTACCAGCTCCCAGGGCAGGCCCAGGGCCCCCTCAGACAGCCTCCCACCCCAGGAAAGGCATAATTCCCTTAAAACTAAGTTCTGCTGGTCCCTGGTGGAGACACAGTGAGTAGAGCCAGACTGTGTTCAGGAGGGGCAGAAAGCGCTTCAGTGGGCAGAGCACCAAAGAGCAGAAGGAAGGATAGGTTATCAAGAGAGCACTGGGAGGATGATGGGCTCTGAGGTTTGATGAGGAGGTAAGGGAGCAGTCTGGAAGCTAGGCTAGAGACCCTGGTAAGGGAAGAAGGCAGGATGAACTCTACCCTGTATGACCTGAACCATCCCCATATCAAAGACTCTCAGAAGCTAGGTTAGCTTTGGATGGTCCAGGTAGACTTAGGGATTAGGTCTGGCCCTGAGGAATCCAGGGTCCACTGGAAATAATCCAAACCCTGTGACAGCATGGTGAGAACAGCAGCATCCCCCTGCCAGCTCATTTCCCAGGGGAAGAGTGGCAGGGCCTCAGTCTTGTTGCCACCAGCCCAATCTCTGGATCAGGACCTGCCATTTCCCCACAAACACTATCCCATCCCCTGCCTGACTCTTATCTCTCTCATCCAGATCCTCCCTACCTCTGAGATGTTGCAATACCCCGGTCCACAGTCTTGTGGGCTGCCAGTAACAGGGTTTCCAGCAGGATCTTGGTCGCGCTTCCACCTTTCATCCGGGAGGAGCCACTGAGACCCTCAGGCTGAGGAGGTGACAACACCAGGAGGAATTGGGAGAGGAAGGAGAACCCTGGAGTTCACTAGTTAGTGACCACTGGGCACACAGGCTGGTTAGTGGTTCTTGGACATGCACTCTGGTTAGTGGACATGCACTCTGGTTAGTGGCCACCGAGCACGCATTTGATGGTGCTAGTGATCCCAGTGTGCTGGGAGGAGGACTGCTGGGTTGAGGGTTTAACTGAGAGAAGAAGAAGGGGGGAAAAGGCCACCTCTGGTCATTTCTATGGTACATTCAGGACTCTAAGGAGGAAGCCCCAGTGATTGGGTCTCCTGTTAGCTGGGGATAAGGGTTTTTCAGAGAGAGATTTTTTCCTGAGAACTTTCTCCTCCCATAGCCCCCCATTTTTTTAATAGCAGTTTGTCAATCCAAACACCACCTTTCATGTTCTTTGGACAGACCAATGAGGCAGCCATTGTAATGATTCACATACATAACACATCAAACAGATAAGGAGATGACAGCAAAAAAGGATGATAAAAGCAGTGTCTGAGAAAAGGAGAGTAAAAGTAAACACTTGCAAAGTGGAGGGGAGATGAGCATGTGGAAGATGAAAGATATGGAACTCCTGCCATCCTATCTCACAAAAGGGAGATAAAGGAGAATGCCGCAGACATGTCCACAACTGGCAGAGAGGGGCGGGGGCAGGGATCTGGTTAAGACCCTTGTAAAGTCAAAGGGCAGAGGATGCTAGTGAGATGCAGATCCAGAGAAATCCAGAGAAAAAAGGAGCAAGAGCACTCGAGGCTTAGAAGGCCCGCCCCAATTTTGGAGAGGATTAGAAAGGCAGAAGAAGAAAATTGCATCTCATTTTTTTTAAAGCTCATATCTGAAATTTAAACCTATAAAAGAGACATAAAGCAATTCACCATTCTATTCAATACTTTCTACACACAGATGCCAAAGAGCTTCTTTAAACAGAAAATGCCCTAGACTATGTAAGTGTTTAATGCTTACTGATTTAAGAAACAAGGTCAGGATAGAAATAAAACATCTTAAGGTGAAAAAGGAAATGAGAAAATAGGATTTGATTTAGAATATTTTGGTTGACACACAATGCCAGGAATTTAGACAAGCTATAAGAGAACCTAAAATCAGAGGCCCTAAGGAAGTGGCAGGCCATCCCGAGGTGAGGGCAGGGCCAAGTGTAGGGGGAGATCCTACCCCAATTGCAGGATTGAGCACAAAACCTTCCTGTTTCTCTTGCAGGTTCTGCATCCGCTCTGCTATCTGTCGAAATGTTGAACTCCAGTCTTCAATGGGGTCATTTCTGGGGCCCACAGAGAGACAGAGGTAGGGGGATTGTCTTTGAGGATCTAAAGGAAGGGCCTCAGATTGGAGTCAGGATCAAAGACCACATTGGGATTGGGGTCAGAGGTCAACAGCTTCCTGGGGAGATGTGCTTTGATGCTCACAGGGGCACTGTCTCCCTGAACCCCAAGGATGAGAGTAAACCATTCAGCAATTTAAGCCCAGAGCAAAGCCAACACTCAAGTTTACAGTTCTAGCCTGAGACCAGAATTTCTTGTATCCTGGTGCTTGCACGTGTCCCACTGTCATGGCCACACTAGCCACACCCTCTATAGACCCCCAGGGGAATGCTTGCCATCTGAATGTCAAAATTGCCACCTTATTTTGAGTCTTAGAGTCCATTAGAAGCCCTTCCCATTCCTGTAAATATATTCTGGAAATCTCCCCAAATAATGAACCCCTCACTACATCAGGGAGGGATAATAGTTCCTACTGAGGGAATCAAGCTGCAAGGTATGAAGCATAGCATCTAACAGCTGGCAAACATTTCTTGAATAAATTAACCAGGAGCAAAACAATGTGCTAATGAGACAAGAGAGCAACAGGCTTGTTGTCTGCTTAGGTGCAACCATGGTATCTCAAAGAATGATGATCTTCTGTAGTTACCTCTGCTGGCTTTGGTAGTGGATAATCTGTTAACCATCCTTTGTGGCAGGACCTCAAAGAGTTACCTCTATACATGGTCTCCCTAGCTTCCCCTTATCAGTCCATCTCTACAAAGTTTCCATCCCTTCTTGAACCATTTTTATCTGTATTACTTCTAGGGCAAACAAGTTTCACATATTACATCCCTACTGCGTAAAGTGTTTCCTATCATTTGTCCTCAAACCACTTCCAAGGGACCTAAGACAGAGGAGACTTCAGCAGAGAGAGGAGACAGTGTTTTTCGCATGGTTTAAAACTGAGATTCCCAAACTTGGCTGGTCATCAAAATCACCTGTGGAGTTTTATTTTTCAACATTACCCATTTCTGGGTACCACACCAACCCTGAGTGGCAGCTTCAGTAGTTCTGGAGTGGAGGCCCAAAATCTGTGTTTTTAAAAAGCTTCCCAGACAACTCTGAAGATCAGCCAAGATTGGGAGCCACTGATTTAAGGAACAACTGGAAGATCTCCACGCCTACATTGTTTGAAATCCTTCATTTCTCTTAGTCACAGAGCCTGAAATTAGCATCCACTGCAGCAGATACATTTTTGGTGAAGGAGAATCCTCCATGAAAAGGATCAGGGTTAAGAGTATTTCAGACTCATTTATACTTTCGTATGAATTACACTACAAGCCTAGAATCTAGGAGTTGAAAAAGTACCTCAGAAACAACCTGGCCGTCCCTCTCCACAACACAACCACTAAATACAAAAATCTGCTCTTGACTAATCAACAAGCCTTTTCGGGAACACTCCAGTGACAGGAAGCCCGCAGCTTCATCAGGTGGCCCACTCCAATGGTTTATTTAGCGGAGTTCTCCAAGCCTGGCTGTGCATCAGAATCTCCAGGAATGCCTTCAAAAAATAGAGGTTTCAGGGCCTTACCCCAAACCTACAACATCAGAGTTCTCACACAAAGGACTAGGAATCTGCTTTCTTATTTTTTTAACACTTTGAAGGCAATGCATCCACAGAACCACACCTGAGCACTATTGGTTTAATGTGCTGACCTTCTCTGAGATCAAAGTGACTATTTAGATAGAGAATAAGAGGGAGATGAATTGAAGGCACAGGGCTCTCAGGAAAGGGAAACAGTGGGGTAGGGGGGAGATTTGAGCAGCCAGAGGGGACCAAAGTGGTGCCTGGAAGGATGGAGGAGAGTGGGCACTAAAATAAGGGAGCTGGGCAAAGGAGAGTAGGAGGCTGCTCAGCCCTCACTACTCCTGGTGTGAAAAGATGCTTGGGTCCCACCTCAAATGAAAGTACAAATCTTTGTGGTACACATTTTCCTGACCCCATTCTATCCTCTGGCCCCTGAATTCCTAGCCTCTCCAATCCCTGTTTTGAATGTACGTTTTCTTGCATTTCACGTATCCTGTGTAAGCTGCCTACAATCTTTTCTGAAACAAGAGAATAAATAAACCAATCAGTGAAAAAAAAACTCTCCTAAGCTTAGGGACACCCCATATTCACCTTAATACTCTGAGATTTGGTGAATAAGACCATATTTACCCTGCCCTCTCCTTTGTGATTGTGCTATGGATTTCAACAGTTCCCTCCCAGCTTCCCCCAGGGGGCTGGCCAGTCACCACCTTTCAATACAGAAGGCTCACCTGGCCATGCTCACTGGATTGAAACCAACCAAAACTGGCAAGAAGACAGCTGGGTTATCCATGCAGTAGTCCATCTGGCCTGCTACAAAGGGAGCCTGATGGTAAGGAGAGAGAGGAGGGCATGATGAGGGGGCTACTCTAGCATTGCCTGAGAACCATGTGCATCAGAATCCCCTAGAATGCTTGTTAGAAATGCAGATTCCAGGGCCAAGTTCAGACATACTGGATCTAAATTTGAAGGAGAGAGCCCATGGACCTATGTTTTTAACAAGTTCCCCCAAAGAAATCTTCTGCATGGTAAAGTTTGAAAACTACTGAACCAAATTGTAAGCTTCTTGAGGTCAATGTCCTGCTCTCCTTGTGTGCCTCCTTCCATATCTAGCACTGTTGGAATCTAGTTTCCGCCCAATGAACTCTTAGAATCAGAGAGCTACAAAGTTGAGAGAAATCTTCAGGTCATCTAGTCCACCACTTCTCAAACAAACTACCTGGGAATCTTGTTAAAATGAAGATTCAGATTCAGTAGGTCTGAGAAGCCTGAAATTCTGCATTTCTAACAAATCCCAAGTGACATTGATGTTGCTGGTGTGAGCACCACACTCTAAGTAGCAAGGGACTAGTCCAGGGGTCAGTTTTTCTGTAAAGAGCCAGAGAGTAAATATTTTAGGCTTTGTGGACCCTATGATCTCTGTCCAACTACTCAACTCTACCGTTGTAGCGTGAAAGTGACCATAGACAATATGTAAACACAAATGGCTAGGTTCTAATAAATCTTTATTTATAAAAACAGGCATTGGCTGGATTGACCTGCCAGCAAAGTTTGCTGACCCCTGAACAAGTCCATCTATCTTGGTTGTTGAACCTATCGATACATGGTTATTCTGAGATAGGATCCCTTCTCTCTCATCCCACATTCATACAACTGGATCCTAATGAAAGTAAAATCAAAATTCCTTGTGCAAACCCTTTCTGTTTTCTACCACCCACCTTGTCAAACTGTCTTCCATGCTATTCCACTCCCATCCCTTCTTCCCTGTAAAATTGATCCACCCAGCCTGTCCACCCAGCCTGTCTTCACACTCACAGAAAGTCCCACCGAAATGCCAATGACTATCACCCTCTTCTTCCCAGCAGCCACCTAGGAGAAGAGGATGGGTAAAGTAGAGCCACCAGGAGGATTCTAGGACACAAACTATTGTGTGGGGATGTCAGGGCCAGGGCCAGGGGAGGGAATGGGCTTTGGCTAGATGTTGGGGTTTTTATATGCCCATGAGGAGAAACAAACAGAGGTCTCTGGTTGAGTGTCAGTGGAAAACACATACCTTCTTCAGTTCCTCAATCCCATGCAGGGCACTATCTTCTGTCCCCTCCCTAGAGGCCACCACAGACCTAAGAAGACAGACTCAAGATCAGGGGCACTGGTTGGGAAGCAGAAGCCTATGGTTTGTTAGGGCAGGCTGCTTTGAGAGAAGTGAATGAAAAGAGAAAACTATCATTGAATGAGCATCTACTATTTGTTGAGCACCATGATAGACACTCTATAGGGTGAAAAATTCAAATACCTACAAAGGCTAGTCAGGCAACATTAGGTATGAGAAGTGGGCCAAGTGTAAGGCAATAAGGAATGGTGGGGACCAAAGAAAACTGGACACAATCTCCATCTAAAAGCATTTAAATTCAATTTCTGAAAAACACTATTCAGGTCAAACAAAATATGCATAGGCCAACTTGGCTTACCTGTCACCTCCTGCAATGAGGTAGGTGTAAAGAGGTTTCTGTCCTAGCCCTTTCATCAGCTGGTTAAAGGAGACCTGTCAAGGGAGAGAGGATATGAAGTAGTAACAGCAGTGAAGGAACAATTATCTTGGATTTTCAACACCTAGAGGATAGAGGCTGTATGATGATTCTCCTAGGCCAGTGCTTAAGCCAGTACTGCTTGGAATCTGGCACTTAAAGATGCTACTTAGAGATGATTAATTGGGGGTGCTTTGGATGTACATACAGATGTCAGCAACAGACTGGTGGGGCTCAGATGAGCTCAGAAAAAATGGGACTCCATGGTGAGATCAGCTTTTGATGGAGAAAGAGAGTCAGGGTTGGAGGGGTTCAACTAGGAGCTTAGCTATGATGAGCATTATGGTTCTGAGGGTCACCCCAAGAAGGCAGAGGGAGGAAAACCAGCGATCAGAGTACTTACCGACATGAGGAATGCCATCCTGCCAGAGGTGCCCCCTCCACTCAGCACCACCAGGCCCCCCTCAGGGTCCTGAGAAAGGAAAATGCCTAGGTTGCTAGGGCCCAGCTCAGGTTGGGAGAAGCATATTTTTTCTCTGCCAGTAAGAGAAGAGGAATTGGACAGACTCCTCAACCCTCCTCTTATCACAAAAGTGAACAGAACATAGGCAGGTTGGTGTAGCAGAAAGAACATTGGATTTGAGAAAGAAACTTCAGTCTGACTCCCAACTCTGGCTTAGCTACTTATTCAAACTCTTACTGATCTCGGAAAGGACTGAAAGCAGCTTTGTCATCTAAAAATTAATTAGTTAATTAATAAAAGCAGTGTTACCCAGCAATTAGCTGAGTGTACTTGGTTATCCTACTCTGATTATCCTAAGTCTTTGTTTTCCCATCTGAAAAAAAATGGAGACAATAACACTAACTTCACAGGTTTGTGTGAAGGTAATGAGTGTGAAAGTGCATTGTCAATTATAAAGTATTATGCAAATAATAGTCATTATAATTACTATTGATTAATAAGATGACAATAAGGATGCAGGAGGGAGGACTGGGAGAAAGAGGAACTGAGATCTCTAAGTGCAAGAAATGGAGACCAAGAAAAGAGAAACGTAGAGAGACACAGATGTTTAGGCAGGGAGCAGAAGGAGAATTAGTACCTTCAGCACCTCCTGAATTTTTCCAGCCACTTGTACCATGGTGGTCAGAACTGAGTCACTGTAGAGTCGCTGTAGGGAAAAGGCAGGAATCAGAAGTCAAGAAAAGGATAGTGGATTGGGGGCGAGGGGTGGGCTGGAGGGGCTCTCAGGTTTTCAAAAATTAGGGACTCTGGTCTGAGAGGGCATCTAAATTTGCAATGTCCTGGAGATGGGTCTGGGTCACCTGGTATGTGGGCATGGCTTGCCCCTCCTCCTGGAAGATCTCAGCATCACATTGCCCCAGTAATTGAACAATCTGCTTGGCATCTGCTTTGTCCAGGTCCCGGGTCAGTGGGTTTGACTTCTCTGTGATTGGCAGGGCTGCCTCATACCCAGACAACTAGAGGGAAGGGGGGACAAGGATACAGGCAGAAAGTCAAAGCCTCATTCATGCCTGCTGAACTGGAGGTGGGAGTGTCAGCAGGCAGTGTTTGGACTCATACGCCCACATGCAAACACATACATACCAAGGATTTAGCCTGCACTTGGTACTCTGGGCCCATTAGGGAAAGAAGATCAGGAAGGAAGATGGGAAGCAGGAGAGGCAGAGCAGAAACCCAGGGTGGAGGGAAGTCCAGATGAGAAATGACTCTAGGAATCAGTGCAGAAGGCCGACATGGAAAAGGGGCCTCACCTCCCACTTGCCGGGCTCTGGGGTCTCAATCACATGTTGAAATCGTTTTGTGCCTGGCATGGTCCCACGCTGTGGACACACTGTTGTGCCTGTTTCTTCAGCCACACAAACCCTTCTGTCACACTAACTCTGCTTCCAGCTGGCAGAGCCTTATCTGAGCCACAGTGATGATTAACCCAAGTACCCTGGCCTCTCTGAGCACCACCCCCTCTGAGCACCTCTGCTTGCACCCTTTCTTAGTCACTAGGCCCTCAGCCCTCTGGTCACCCCGAGGGGAGCTCTAGAGGTCCCTCTTTGCATGCCCCCAGACTCCCCAGACTCTGCTTTGCCCCTGAAGAGGAAGAGCCTAGGTTCATTACTCTTGCTCCTGTGGGGGATTAGAATTGGCCACCTCAAAATATATCTCTTTGCCTTGATTATTTTCAAGAACAAAAGACTCTGAAAGAAACTTTGACCTCCCCTCCTAACTGCCTAAAAGAAATTTAAGATAAAAGGCTGTCCCCAGGACAGGCCATCACCATAGATAACTCTGGATATCTGTAACCTGTGAGGGCCCTTGCTAAGCCCATTCTTATTAAAGTTCTGTTCACCAAACATTAGCTTTTCCATCTCCACGTGAATTGCCTGCCTCCCCTTTGAAGTCCCAAACCACTACCTACAACATCCTCCTTTGTCTTTAGCTGAAGATGCTATTTAAGATGACAACCCTGGACATTCTGACAAGCTACACAGTTTCCTGGGGTTTCTCCCATACACATCTTATAAAGCTTTGTTTGATTTTCTCCTGTTATTCTGTCTCATGTCAATTAATTCGTAGACCAGCCAGAAGGACCTAGAGTGAGTAGAGGAAATGTTCTTCCTTCCCTACCCACCTCGGACACAATTCCGTCTTCTCAGGAGGGGCTACAGCCTGAAAGTGCAGGACAATAACCAGGCCCAGTGTCAGGGCAGCAAGAATCCCTGGGCACCAGTGCTCTGGGACCAGGATGCATCAGGAGGCCAGAGATCAGGGTGCTCAGGGTCAGCAGAGGTCAGAGGACCTGGGCCATGGCTTGATCACATGCTCAGCACACACAGTTCTCCCTGCCCCACTTGCCCCATTTCACTCTCTCCTCTCAGAAGGAAGGCAACAGAAGCTTCAGATCCCCAGGGGTGCACACACTGAACTGGATATTACAGGAGAAAAGTGTCACAGAAATAGAAATACTGCAATGAGAATTAGAAACCAAAGTATCTGTCCTAAATATACAAGCCACCATTTATTTACACTGAACAACACATTTTTCACATACAGTATCTCATTAGATACATTAACACTAAGAAGACGATATTGACACTCATTTTTCAGATGATGAAACTGAGGCTCAGGGAAGTTAGTTGCTGAAGATCACACAGCTGACAGAATTGGAACTCACACCTAGGTTCTGACTCCAGATTTCATGCTCAGCCAAAGCATTAAAAAACTTGAGGATTTATTACATGGTTATTGAATGAATGAAGTAACTAACAAGTTGGTGCAAATTAATAATAATCTCTCACTCACACAGTGTTGTAAGATTTATAACCACCTTGCTCCAACATTGTCTCATTTGATCCTCACAACAGCCCTAAGAGGTTCTGGACCCTGATTTACAGATGGGAAACTTGAGACTTAGATTAGCCAGTTTCTCCAAGGCCACACAGGAAGTCTCAGGGCTAAGAAAGAAACATAGGTCGTTGCTCTTTAAATGTCCCCCTATGAACCCAGCACTCCTAATGATCGCTGTATCTCCAGCTCTTAACATGCGAGACATATAGGAGACGCTCGATAAATATTTGCTTAATAAACGAAAGAATGAATGAGAGTGAAGGGACTCAATATCAGATTATGAATGGGGAAAAGGCTTAAAAGCTGACGCAGTCTACAAGTAGGCGATTGTGGAAACAATTATCTCCATCACTCGGTCCCCTCCTGCACCGGAGGTGGAATTCCTACTCCCACTTTGGCTAATTCCATCCGGAGGGAGGGGCTCTCCCAGGTGCCGGAGACCCTCGCACCTGCGCCTCCCCCCACGCCCCCGCGGGCTCAGCGGATTGAGCCGGGATCTGAAGGGCTGGGGGCCCGGGAGGCCGCCAATGGGAGGGTCGTGGGAGGAGCCCCGAGAGAACCGGGGGCGGGGGAATGACGGCGGCAAGAACCCCAGCGGGGCGGGGCGGGCCGCACGTCCCGGCCGGGCTGCGGCGGAGCGAGCGGGGCCAGCTCTGCAGAAGGCGGCGGCTGGCTCGCCGGGACGGTCACATCCCGCTGCAGGGGCTGGCGGAAGGAGCCGCACTGCCTCCCGCACTGGGGACCCAGGCCAACCGCCAGGCCGCGCCGGCACCGCCCCCTGCTCCCCGACAGACTACGCGGCCGGTCCGAGCTCTGGGGGCCGGGCAGCCCCGCCGCCCGCGCCCGCTACGCCTCCGCCCTCTGCCCGCAGCTGGGTCCCGCACTGCCCCCCTCGCCGGGCCCGCGCCGGGATGGGGTAGGGGCAGCGCCACCGAGTTGGGCGATGGGCCGCCCTCTGGGCACCGAGCAGCCCCCCGAGGCCTGACCGACCGCGAGGACCGGCGGAGGTGAGTGTGGGCAGGGCAGAGCCGCGCACAGAGGGCGCCCGGGTGATGCGGGGGCGGGGAAGGCGTGGGGAAGAGGGGGGCTCTGGGGTTGCTGTGGGCCCTGGGGAGCCCGGGAGAGCTGCTGCCTACCCGTGCGTTCTAGCCAGTCCTTGACCCTCCACAACTCCTGCCACCTCCAGGAGCCCCGCCTGGATGTCAAGCGGATGCCCCAGTGTCTCCCAGCAGACTTGGTGGAGACCATGGCTTCGCTGATGCCCCTGTCCCCATATCTAAGCCCTACAGTCCTCCTGCTGGTCAGCTGTGACCTGGGCTTTGTGCGAGCAGGTGAGTAAAGGGGGAGGAATTGGGAGTTAACCTGAGCTAGTCTTTGGGTGGAACCTGTTAACCTGTTAACACACTGGCACCTACAGACCGGCCTCCATCTCCTGTGAATGTGACAGTCACTCACCTCAGAGCCAACTCGGCCACTGTGTCCTGGGACGTCCCAGAAGGCAACATCGTCATTGGCTACTCCATTTCCCAGCAAGTATGAATCACCCTTCTGCTCCCCCAACCTGTGTCCTTGGATCTCTGAACATTCCTTCTGTTACCTCCCTCCCCCCACCCCCAAATTCCACTCCCAATGGTGGGAGAATCTCGGAGCTGGTGTTCCCTGGCTCAGGCTGCTCTTTTCACCCTACTCCCTTGGAGTGCTTGGATGTTCAGGAGTCCTGGGTTGAGCCTTGTGACCTGGGACTGGGGTGAAGCTGCTCTCCTCTCCCATCTCCCTGCAGCGACAGAATGGCCCTGGGCAGCGTGTGATCAGGGAGGTGAACACCACCACTCGGGCCTGTGCCCTCTGGGGCCTGGCTGAAGACAGCGACTACACTGTGCAGGTCAGGAGCATCGGCCTTCGGGGAGAGAGCCCGCCAGGGCCCAGGGTGCACTTCCGAACTCTCAAGGGTTCTGACCGGCTACCCTCAAACAGCTCAAGCCCAGGTGGGGGTCTCAGCTATTCCCCACTCCCTAAAGCTTTGGATTCTGTGGCTTTTTACCTGGCCTTTAGCCTCCTGTTTACTTCCCCAAAGCAAGCAACAGTCTAGCTTAGATGAATAGATGGATGATTTAATTCCTTGTACTGCCAGGAAAGGAAGGAAAGCAGGTTGGCAGGGGACTGGATATAGACAGGCTGGTAGTGAATCATTTGGGGGGAGGGCTTTTAACTTCCTTTTACCCGACCTCAGTTCACAGCAGATGCAGCCTGCATGAGTGAGTACCTGACTTGAAGCCCTCCTGCTTTTTGGTCACTAACCACCTGTCCACTAACAGCGTCCCAGAGAGGGGCTACCAGGGGCAACTCTGTGATGAGTCTACCCTGACTCTAATCCCCAGCATCTCCATCCTTAACTGTCTGCATAGATATAGCTCTCTAGCTGCTCCCCATAACCTGGAGTCTTTCTCCTTCCTTCTCAGGTGATATCACAGTGGAGGGTCTGGATGGAGAGCGACCACTGCAGACGGGGGAAGTGGTCATCATTGTGGTGGTGTTGCTCATGTGGGCTGGTGAGTAAGCAGCTGGACAGGGGACCCGGGATTGAGAGAGTGGGGCTCAGTGAAGGCAAGAGGTGGTGAAGGTTGTTGGGAGAAAACAGGGTGAGAAAAATAGGGCAGGGAGATGCTTAGTTGAGGGAGATGAGCAGGAGAAGTTTGAAGAGAGGGAGAAGAGGCTGTTGGGAGCTCAGGAAGATTAAGAGGGTGGTGTTTGTGCATGGGCATGAGGAATTCAAGGATTTTCTTAGATTTTCTAGAAACTGTGTGGGTATCTCACTGCCTTTCGAGGCTGTGACTGGGGAGGTTGAGATCAAGGCTCAGATTGTATTGTTGTGTTTCAGCTGTAATTGGGCTATTCTGCCTTGAGATCAAGGCTCAGATTGTATTGTTGTGTTTCAGCTGTAATTGGGCTATTCTGCCGTCAGTATGACATCATCAAGGACAACGACTCCAACAACAACCCCAAGGAGAAAGGGAAGGGGCCAGAACAGAGTCCTCAGGGAAGGCCAGTGGGGACAAGACAGGTGATGTGGGGCCAGTGAAGGAGGGAAGGGTGATTTTGCCCCTGAGGAGCAGCTGGGGAGAGGGAGATGGGCAGAGGGGCAGGAAAAGAGGGAGAATGGAGGGTGCTGGCCCCGTGGCCGAATGGTTAAGTTCACATGCTCCGCTTTGGTGGCCCAGGGCTTCACCAGTTTGGATCCTGGGTGCGGACCTAGCACCGCTCATCAAGCCACGCTGAGGCGGCATCCTACATAGCAGAACCAGAAGGACCTGCAACTAGAATACACAACTGTTTACTGGGGGGGCTCTGGCAAGAAAAAGATTAAAAAAATGATTGGTAACAGATGTTAGCTCAGGTGCCAGTCTTAAAAGAAAAAACGAGGGAGAATGGAAATCTGGGATGGAGGAAGCTATTACCTTCCTGAAATTAGAGACTCAAGCCATTTTCTTTCACAGAAAAAGTCACCATCCATCAATACCATCGATGTATGAGTGAAGAAACAGAACCAGAACACAGATGCACTAACAACCTGGGGATGGGGATGGGGTCAGGGAGAGCCTAAGATGGTGACCTGCTCAAGACTGAAGGATCCCACAG